TGATGAGGAAAAAGCATATTTGATAAAATACAGGGGTAACATCAAAAACATGTTAGAGGTAACAGGCAGTCGCAGACTTCTATTGAATCACTTTCCTTATTTAGATATTCAGTGCAGAGTAACTGCATTTTTTTGCATGGTGTGTGTCCTGCACAAAGTTGTTCCTTTATTTTAATGAGAAATATTCTCTAGTCAGTTTAATGCTCAGGATGGCAGTGTTAATCCCCAGAGCTGCCAGTGTAGTCTGAAACTAGGGACAAAAGGATTTAGAGATGGGAGGGGGGGGTGGTATAAATACTTCCCAACCCAGCTTCTTCTGTAATGTACAGAGCCCTGAATGAGAAGTTGCTCCTTTAGAGACTTTGTCTTGCAGTTGAACACATATTGGAGGTTTCTAATTTAAATTTATGCTTTTGGGTAAAGTGGATTACAGAGATTGAATTGCTAAAGGCTAAAGAGAAACAGATCACTTGATTCTGAGGAACTCTATTGAAATAAGTTTTAATGTGAAATGACTGGAGTAAAGAAAAAGAATGAACATCCATTCAGAGACTCCCTCCTACTTGCCAGATACTGTGGTGCTTTTCTATCAGTTGTCTCATTCATGCCTTATCTTTAAAGAGGGCATTAAGGCTGAGAGAGGTTAAATGACTTGCCCAAATATCACACAGCAGAGAGTGAGAGGATGGGTTCTTTCTGACTCCCAAACCCACTAGACTAGTAGATTTGTTCTTTGGTGGTTCAGTGGCTGATATCCCAGGAGGCAGAAGTTTTCTGTTTCTTTCAAATGAGGTTTGTTATAGGCCTGGCTCTTCATTCTCTCCCATTTGTGTTGGAACACGGGATTTAAGATACTGTGGAACTGAGCATGCCAGCACCTTTTTTCTTGATCTTTTGGTTGGCTAGCCCTTTGCCTAGAGCTCATCTCAAAATCATAGCTGCTCTTGGGAATTTGAGGTAACATGAAGACTTTTGATTTTATTCTCTCCAGTAACATATTTAACACCAGTGGATAGTGTCTAGGGTGTAATCCACTTAATTGACAGATATCTCAGCCATCTTATAGCAGGTTCCTTAGTATCTTTATCCTCATGGCTGTAGTCCAGAAACTTGTTTTTATCTATTTAAACATAATTGTGGGAATAGTATATAATTACAGTAAGCTTTTGACAGTGCTGAAACCAATCTTACCTAAAAAGTGGGTTGAGGAAGGTTATAAGTGGTAATGTTAGTTTTTCTGTACTTCAGTTCAAACCTTTTTCCCAAAGGAAAACCAAAGCTGTTTGAACTGTGACCCATGCCTTAGTTGCCAGGTGTTAACAACTTACAGTTAACTCATAAACCTAGATAGATTCAAACCATTGACCTTGAGTTGAAGTATTTTATAAGCTGTGACTCATCTTTTGGCTCATTCTTCTGTTCACCAGGAAATAACACAATATTAATTTCAGGAATTTTGATTATCCCTTATGAAGAGTGTGTTGCTCATTAAAATTGCTGGGACTTGTTTCTCTAGTACCAATAGGACCACAAATTGGTCTATACTTAGTGGTTGTGCTGAATTCATGTGTAAACAGAGGAAGATAACTTATTAACTTTCTAGAGAAAAACTGTTGAAGCTGAGGCCATCTTTTCTGACTTCTTTAAGAGGTTTGTCTCTTCCACAAGAGGGATAGGGATGCAGGATGGTGAATCTGAGGCTGAACATAACAGATGGTGTGTGTGTATGTGTATTTGTATCTGTAAATATCACATCACTGTTTACAGTACACTGGACTCTGTTCATGCAAGGCCTAGTCAGGCCAAATCAGGAGGAATTGTTCCCGTGCTTAAAGCCAAGAATAACATCCTGACCAGCAGGGGACAGAGGTCAGCTCAAGGCAGTAGCTCTTGGGAGCTACAGGACATTAAGAACTTTGAAGGAACTGAGTTTAATAAGAAGGAAGACAATATGTACGAACTTAGAAGGAAGTGTGTGAAACCTGCATGTCTCTTATTAAGACGTGGCTTATTTATGAAAAATGAAAAACCATCTTAGTAATTGGATGTGTTAGGAGTTCATATCACCCTCTAGCTATATATTTCCCCCTCCTACCTGCATATTGATTTGTCTGTTTATTATTACTCTGGTGTTTCATTCTATAGGCAGCTTCAGCCAAGCCCAGGAGAGGGCTGGATTTAAAGATGATATGTTAATTAAAAAACAACCCTTTACAAAATCTCCTGGGGACCTTCCGGGCTGGCTGAGATTTTGTTTCTGGGATCTTTCTGTGCCCACTTCTCTTCTTTTCCCTTCCGTCTTTCCTCATTCTGATGCTGGCCACTCACCCCACAGAGGCAACTCAAACTGTTTTCTGGTGGAGCATTCTAAGTTTGTCCTGTTGTCTTCTCCGGGACTCATTTCTCTGGTCCCACTTAAACTGGTTCTGGGCCAAAGTGATCATCTGAAAGCTTTTCTTCATGGCCTTTATTTCTTGGCTCTTTTTATGTACTTTTCCTGATTAGTTTTGCTGGTTCTCTCCTTTTCCAGTGGTGTAAGTTATATTGCCTCCGTTGAAAGGTTCTAAAGCTCAGGTGCAGCCTTTGTCCTCTTAGATTTTACTCTGATTTATAAAGTGTCTTTTTACTTTCCTAGAAATTGGGCAATGAATCAGGTGCTCTCTTATGAGGTATTGCTGACTTTCCTGGGACTCTAATTTGCTAGTTGTTTAAATACTATGTAGCGGGGCACCTGAGTGGCTCAGTCGTTAAAGCGTCTGCCTTTGGCTTAGGTCATGATCCCAGAGTCCTGGGATCGAGCCCCGAGCGCGACCCCCGCCCCCCGCTCCCGCCCCCGCCTCCGCATCGGGCTTCCTGCTCAGCGGGAAGCCTGCTTCTCCCTCTCACACTCCCCCTGCTGTGTTCCCTCTCTCCCTGTCTCTCTCTGTCAAATAAACAAATAAAATCTTTTTAAAAATTAAAAAAAAAATACTATGTAGCAATTCAAATTGTATTTGCAAGGTAGGACTTACTGCCAAGATTCTGAAGTAGGTCAATTGCTTGTTACCCTTTCTCCCATTGTCTTTCTTTTTTCTTTCTTTCTTAAGATTTTTATTCATTTGAGAGAGAGAGAGAGAGAGAGCATGAGTGGTGGGGGAGTGGCAAAGGGAGAGGGAGAAGCACACTCCCCCTGAGCAGGGAGCGTGACTTGGGGCTCGATCCCAGGACCCTGAGATCATGACCTGAGCTGAAGGCAGATGCTTAACCAAGTAAGCCACCCCGGTGCCCCTCCCCTTGTTTTTCAACTGAAAAATTAGAGATGAAGAGAATATTACCTTGTCCATGGCCACATAGTAGGTTAGTATTACACCTTTTAAAGCAAACTTTATTTTGCATTCCTTGTATTTCTTAGCACAGATATTAATAAGTAGTTAATAAATATGTAATAGTTTAATAAATACATCTTAATTGGGGCGCCTGGGTGGCTCAGCCAGTTAAGTGGCTGCCTTCGGCCCAGGTCATGATCCCAGAGTCCTGGGATCAAGCCCCGCATTGGGCTCCTTGCTCTGCAGGAGGCTGCTGCTCCCTCTCTCTCTGCTTGCCGCACCCCCTGCTTGTTGTCTCTCTCTCTCTGTCAAATAAGTAAATAAAATCCTAAAAAAAAAAAATCAATACATCATAATGGGGCACCTGGGTGGCTCACCCAGTTAAACATCTGCCTTAGGCTCAGGTCATGATCCTGGGGTCCTGGAATCAAGCCCCTGCATCACATTGGGCTCCCTGCTTAGCAGGGAGCCTGCCACTCCCCCTGCTTGTGCTCGCGCTCTCTCTCTGTCAAATAAAAAAATAAAATCTTTAAATAAATAAATGCATCTTAACTGTGGGTTGATTGGATGATCAATTAAATTTCAGAATTCTCATCGATTTGGTCACATTTTGGACCAACATGTGAGAAAAGTTTCTGGGTGGAAGGGACCAGATAGCCATGCAGAAAGTGTTTAGCAATTGAGAACACGCATGCAAAAAATCCCAATGTAGGGTGCTTGGCTGGCTCAGTTGGTGGAGCTTGTGATTCTTGGTCTTGGGGTTGTGAGTTCGAGCCCCACATTGGGTGTAGAGATTACTTAAAAAAATAAAGTCTTAAAAATCCTGATGTAAATCCTATTAAAAAACTCAAGAAACAGAAGAGTAGTTTGGCTAGAGCAGAAACTGGGTTATAAATGTAGGGAGAAATAGGTTGAGAGAGGATAGAAGGACATGGGGTAGCACAATTCCAGAAACAGGCATCTTGCCAGCTTGGGATCAGACAGTGAAAATGAAAATTTCCTACTCCTCTTCCCCCAGTATGAGGCTTTCCACCCCTCTCCCAGCAACCCCTATCCAGAGGGGCTGTTAATGACTCTGGGCACTAGTGTCTGGTTTTTGGGATGCCATGTGAAGCATGAAGAGGTCCTGTGGGGTCAGTCAGGCAAAGAACAGTTGGCCTTTTGATTTGTTAAATTCTTCTTAATAGCTTTGCAGCTCTCAAATAGTGTTGCTAATTCCAAAGCTGAAACCATTTTCTGATGGTTTTGCTGTATATCCAGTTGGCTTTTTGGGACCAAAACAGCAGCTGAGACTGCTGTACCATGATGCACATTATGCAATAACCCTTCAAGGGGCTCATCCCCCTTCTTTTATCTTAAAAAAATAACAAAAACCCCAGACTGCTGTTTTTTTGCTTTGGGGCCAGTAATTTGCATCCCATTTGGGTGCCTTGGTCTCCCCCCTCAGTTTTTCTTCATGCATCCCTGTGCTAAGCCCTGCTCTCTGAACCTAGCTCTGGCTTCTGGCCTCATTGCGTAGTATGAATTTTAACTATTTCTGCTTTCAGACCTGTTTTCCAGCTTTTGTCTTTCCCTGCTCCCTGTAGGAAACTTTGGGTTCAGACTTGCTTGAGGAGAGGATGATCTTGCTTGTTTGTTGTTTCCATAAATATGTTCTCTACTAACTAAATTTTCTTTATTTTCTTTGTCAAACAGGCCACCAAGCAGTTTCTTGAAGAGATTAACAAGTGGACAGTTCAGTACAATGTTTCCCCCCTCTCTTGGAATGTGGCTGTCAAGTTCCTCATGGCCCGGAAGTTTGATGTGCTCCGTGCCATAGAGTTGTTCCACTCCTACAGAGTATGTAGCTTGGGGGGGCGGCGGGGCAGATCTGTGGCAGTTGGGCTCTCTATGTTGCTGTTTTCTGTGCCACACACTACACGAAGTGGTTCTCTGAGTGTTCTCCCCACTCTCATTTAAAAAAAGCAGGTCAGTATCTAGGAGCCCTACCTTGAAGTCAGAAAATCCTTCTGAAGACATGTAGAATCTCTCTAAATTAAAAAAGGAGGACAAGGCATGCCAGGATTAGTGCAAGACTAAAAAGCTCACTTATGCCTATCTTGTGGGTCATCTCCTACAATATTCATTCATTTTTTCAACAGATGTTTATTGCATATGTACTGTGTTCCAGGTGCAGAGATTACTATTTAGAAAGAGAAAGTAGACACACAATTATAGAAAGTTATGATAGGGCACTACTTGGTTCTGCGGAAGCACATTTATTTAGAAGGGTCAAGGAAGCCTTCTTGAAGGAAATGATTTCTAAATTAAGATCTGAAGAATGGAGTAGGAATTGGACAGATAGGGGAGTATGGCAGAGAGAATAGCAAGTTCAGATTCCTAGTGACAATAGAGAAATTGAGCTGAGCAGAAATGCTCATTGGGAGTGGCGGCATGTCAAGAGAGTGAGCAGCAAAAGTAAACAAGGCCAGATCATAGAGTATTTTTTTCTTAAGGGCAGAGAAACTCACTGAAGGTAAAAACAGCAGAATAACTTCCTGAGATTTGCATTCTGGAACGATTATCTCACTGTGCTTTAGAGAATGGATCAGGGGCGCCTGGGTGGCTCAGTTGGTTAGGTGACTGCCTTTGGCTCAGGTCATGATCCTGGAGTCCCAGGATCGAGTCCCTCATCGGGCTGCCTGCTCAGCGGGGAGTCTGCTTCTCCCTCTGACCCTCCCCCCTCTCATGTGCTCTCTCTCTCTCATTCTCTCTCTCAAATAAATAAATAAATAAAATCTTAAAAAAAAAAGAGAGAGAATGGATCAGAAGGGCTCTACTGGAGACAGACCAATTAGAAGGCCATTGTACTTATAGAGAGAGAGAAGATTGTGGTGTCATTAAGTGTAGTGTCAGGGGAGATAGAGAAAAAATGGGCAGATTCTAGAAGTGAAATTGGTAAAACAGTGTTGCTTAAACTGGTGTGTAAGGAAAGAAGAGTCAAGCGTTACAGGTCTGACTTGGGTGGCAGGGTAAATGGTAGTAGCATTCACTAATTTTAGGAAATAGGTCATGAGTTCAGTTTGGTCGTGTTAAGTCTGAAGTGTCATTGGGATATCCAAATAAATATGTTCTCTAAGAAATTGGAATGGGGTTCAGGAAAGAAATCTGGACCAGAAATAGAGATTTCAAGTGACCAAAGTAGAGCTGAATATTGGAGCCATGAGAAAGAGTGAGGTCATTCCAGGAGAATATGAGAAGATATGTAGGGCTGAATATCACCTCAGACTTTTTGCTATCTTTGGTTCAGTAATGTCTTAAGAGTTGAATTTGAATGCTTTAGGTAGGGCATGCACTCTCCTGTAATCCTAGCACAAATACTGTCTTCACTTGCTGCCTTGCCTCTGAAGGCATTTGAATTTGATTTTAAGGATGAATTGGGCGAGAATATAAACAAAGACCTAGTGTGTTTCATTCACCAATGTGTTCCTAGCACTTAGCTCAGTGCCTGGCATATAATAATTGCTCTACAAATATTTGCAGAATAAATGAATGAGCCAGTGAATTAATTGAGTGAGCAAATGATTGCAAGTAAACAAACAAAAAAAACCCCCACAAGGGCCACCTAGGTGGCTCAGTGGGTTAAGTGTCCAACTCAGGTCCTGATCTCAGGGTCGTGAGATCTAGCCCCGTGTCACTCTCCCTCTCACTTTGCCCCTCCTCTCCTCACTCTCTCTCTCAAAAAAAACACCAAAAAAAGGAGACTTAGAAGCAGTAGTTGAAGAAATAAGAAAACTGAGAGAGTATTCTCTATCTCTGATAGAGAATGTCTCAGGGGAAAGGGAAGGTGAGTGGTCAACCTTGTCCTATAAAGGGAGAGATGAAAATGCCCACTGGGTTCACTGACAGGTGAGCTACAGGCAGTAGTTAGATTGGGGGGAATGAGGATGCAGTAGACTGAGTATGAGGGAACTGAGGATGAGCTTAGAGAATCTTGCTGTGGAGATAAGAAAAATGAGGTCATGGTAGGTCTTGTTGGAGAACATATCGAGGGGATGGATGGCTCCTTTTTAAGATGCGGGAGGCCTCAGCCTCGGATGTGTGAGGATGTCTGCTTCCAGACATTTTTTTGTTGCATATTTAATACCTTGTTGCAGTATCACTGCTGATGTATGCTTAAGAACTTTGACCCTGCACTCTAACAATACGTATTAGTTGATCTTCAGGGTTAGGGTTCTCACTGATTTAAAAGGAAAGTATCATACCTAAGAGGCTGATAAGGTAGCATTGGGCAAAAATTCAGATAACACTCAGTTGGCCTGTAGGATGTTACAAAGGAATTCGTGATTCAATTCATTGACTTCTGAAGTCCCTTATCTCTGAGATTTGATGGTTACATAAAACTGTCCTGGCTATACAGTATTTCCATATTAATTTATCTTGCTGTGCTTTATTCTTAGGAAACACGAAGGAAGGAAGGCATTGTGAAGCTGAAACCTCATGAGGAACCTCTCCGTTCTGAGATCCTTAGTGGGAAATTCACCATCTTAGTGAGTCTTTATGAACCCTTCTTGTAGTGTCTCGTTACTTCCTTTTGTAGCTGTTGTCCTCTTTGGATTTTGTTCCCAGATACCTTATCCTGAACCTAGAGAGTCTCAACATTGCGGAGCAGACGTGAAGCAGCTGTGTAGTTTACACAAAATAATTCTAGTAACAAGTGAAATTATTAAGAATCAGTTATACCATAGGTCAAGCAGAGTTCTTCATTGGTCTATTAAGGTTAGTCAAGGTCTTTGGGTGGGTATACAATGGCTCAGAGGCCCATTCTTATTGGATTCAAGCTCTCTCCACCTAGAGATCACAGCCTTTTGAATAAGTGTACGATGGTACTTTTAAGGCAGAGCATGGAAACCATGGTTGTATTCTGTGGTTTTCCCCTGATGTGTGTTTCTTTTGCCATCCTATCTGGGAAATTAGCTAGGCAGCCAGTGTAGACCATCCTTTAATCTCTCTGCCATTGACAAGTTAAGGGAATGTAGTTTTTCCCTACCACACAAATATGATCCAGGGGCTGCTAAGAATCAGGCATGGGATGAAATAAACATTCTTCTCTTCCTGGAGTAACTGATGCAAGTCAGAAAAGTATTGCCAGCATCTCTTCTCTTGATATGAAATTTTTGTCTAGGATATAGAAGCCTAAGTGATTGTTGTGATTTTCTATTTAGTTTCTAAATCTTTCTTGTTTTATTTGCTTCTAGAATGTTCGGGACCCAACAGGAGCCTCCATTGCCCTCTTCACTGCCAGATTGCATCACCCCCACAAGTCAGTCCAACATGTGGTACTTCAGGCTCTGTTTTACTTGCTAGACAGAGCTGTGGATAGGTGAGCATAAAGATATCTTTTAGTTGGTCTACATCCAGATGGGGAAGTGATAGTCCTTGACTAAGTTGATTAACTCAGCAGTGCCTTCACCATGCTCCTAGAATGTGCCCTGGGAAGTGCTGTGAATAGAAAACATTCCATGTCTTTAAGGGCTTGGCAGGTTTCCAGGTACTATCAAGATAGAGGGTATTCTTTGTATCTTTACCTGCTTGGCTCTATTTTAGGATCACAGAAGCTGAGAAAGCCAATTAACTAATTATCCTCATTGTATTGAGAATCACTTATTGAGAGAATATGAAGGGGAAATGACTTGTGCTGACCTTTTGCTCATTTGCCCTGAATATTGATTTTCAAAGCACTCTGGGGCCTCACTTTCTTTGTAAAATAGGAATAATGCCATTTAGCTCAGGATTTTGAGAATCAACATTCAGGAGAGAAGAGTCCAAAAGTACAAAGTTAGGCAAAATCATCTTTATAAACAGGTGCATGAGCAAAAAGAATCCGCTTAGGTCATTTCTCCTTCTTTTTCCAAGGTAAATGGTATTATGACTATTTTAGGCAAAGAAACTGAAGCCCCAAGAAGTTACGTGACTCTTTTACAGTTATCACATACCAGTCCAGTTAGGCCTAGGATCCTAGTTTCTTTGCTCTTGGCCAGAGCTATTTGTACCCTATTATGTTGTCCTCTTGCCGTACTTCCTTAACCCTGGTGAATTTTTCCCTCATGAAAATTTACAGTTTAATATTGTGCTGGATGTCATTGGCTAATCCTCTGGCTTAGAAGTGATGTATCGAAGGCTAAAACCTAAGATAGTGAATGACATCTATGCACAACTTCAGTCATACCGTGGACTTAGAGGATGTGGATAGCCAAATGATTGTCTGAAGTGGGTCTCTCTGTCTAATTCACTTGTTACTGCCTTGTTAATGTTATTTCCATAGTATTTATCTTCTGCTTTTGATGCTCAATAGGGAGATATATCCACGCCACACATAGCATTATTCTGAAAAACAGAAGTTTACTAAGGTAAGGAGAGAGGACCAGTGGTCTCAGGGCCCCTGTACTGCCCAATCAGAAGTGTGAAATTTCTCAGTTCTTCTTTCCTGTGATTGGTCTTCAGGCATTATTTCCAGAATATAGGTTCCTTTGAAATGCTTTAGCTCAGGAGAAATAAATGAAAGACTCCTTTGTCAGAAAATTCACTGGCCTTCTGTTGTGGGCAGCTTACAGTCAGAGCATTCCTATAGGCATGGCAGTGGCCAAAGCTTTCTTGTATTGATTGGATCCCACAGAAGACCACACAGGTAAACATACTTAAAACTGTGTTCATGATGTCCACCCTTTTCTTAAAAACGTTTAGTGACTCCTCATTATTCAGAAGGTGCATATAAAATAAATAAATGTGAAACCTTTTCTCCAAGCAAAATATCCTCACTAGTGAGTAGAAATTCTTGTTTTCCTATGTTAACTTTCACTGAGAGCAGGAGTAGGGTGGGGAGGAGGAGAGGGAGAAGGAGAAGCAAATTCCCCGCTGAGCAGGGAGCCCGACACAGGGCTCCATCTCAGGACCCTGAGATCATGACCTGAGCCAAAGGCAGATGCTTAACTGACTGAACCACCTAGGTGCCCCAGCAGCAGTTATTGATAATACCAATTATTTTGTATTGAACTTTACACAGCCTTATGATGTAATTTATCTTATACTGTTGTTTTCTATATTTACCACTAGATTGTAAGCCCTGTGAGGGCGGGGAACCTTCTTTTTCACATTATATAATAGAAAATCCTCAGATCTCTACGGGTGGCATGGAAATGGTATCATAAACTTCCACACATCATCTGTTTTCAGACTGATCTATAACCAATCTTATTTCACTGATAGCCTCTCACCCATCCCCTATCCTCAATTATTTTGAAACAAATGTCAGGGACTGTGTTTTAAACATCTTGGTGTTCTCAGGTAGCATCCAGCTCAGGAATCAAACTCAGTAGGAAAACATTTATTCTTAGTAAGGAATTAGCTATCATTGTAAACCTCGTATTCTGTACACAGAAAAACAAAGATCCTACCACATTTATATTTATTTCATGTGCCTTTATAGGAAGAATAATTTTTAGGACTATAGAACCTGCATCATTATGAACCATAGCTTCTTTTTATTAAATTCTGTTTCCCCTGGCACTGACTTCTCTTTGTTTCAGTCCTCTGCAACAGGCTGGTGCTGTGAGGGGAAAACCTTTATAGTTCTTTGAATTTGGCCGTTGATGAGCTTGTGGAGAAATGGGAAGTCTCTAGACCTGGATAGTCTACTTAGTAATTGTGCTACTCTTGTAACGCCATCTTTGATCTTGGTGAATCATAGTCTCTCTGGAATCATGAAAAAAGGAGTCAAGATTTAGTATTAACTGTAACCTGTCGAGACCATTCAAAACTCAGAAACTGGTAAAACTTGGGTGTACTTGGGTGTACCTCAGAATTAGAGATTTTTGAACTGAGATTTTTGAAATGCTACTTCATGGGTGGGTACTTCCACCATGCCAAAAATTTAGGATACAAAATAACATTGAGATCTCTGATTTCAGGATTCTTTTGTGCCCCCAAATTTTCTTAATTTTAAGTAGGGAGGAAAGCTATTGCTATGCTATCATCTATGAGTAATCAAACAAAAAATTTATTCCTAATGATCTTTTAGGCATGCCAATTGAAATAGGTAAGGATCTGGCTTGGTGGAAGAATACAACTTTGAGAAGTCTTTAGGCAGTAAGGAGATTGAACTGAAGAATACTTTTCATATCTTCACATATTTTTTGTTTTTTGTTGTTGTTGTTTTTAGAGAGAGCCCAAGTGCATGCAGCCGGAGAGGGGCAGAGGGAGAGGGAGAGAGAATCTTAAGCAGGCTCCATACCCAGCAGGGAGCTCAACACAAGGCTCGATCTCATGACCCTGAGCCACCTAGGTGCCCCTCCTCACGTGTTCTTACTCAGTGTGGTAATAAGCTCGCTCTTTTCAAGATGCTTTCCTAAGACTATGTATGGGTTTGTTCTCTTCCTCCAAGTCCTAAGAGTTACATTTACCATCACTGAGCTTAGAGTTTTGTTTCACAGTTTCCCACAGGTCTGAAGTATTTTCTTAGCAGTAGGCTTCCAGTTCCACTGAATTCTAATTCAGTGACCATTTATCATGTACCTATTTGCAAGGACTGTGCTAGGGACTGTTGGGAGTAATGAGGTGAACAAAACATATTTTTGCTCCCAGGAGAGAATCAGATGGCTATACAAAGTTAAAGTGCTTTGGGGCACCTGGGTGGCTCAATTGGTTAAACATCTGACTTGGCTCAATCAGGATCCTGGGATCAAGCCCCCAGACGTCGAGCCCCCAGACGCTCAGTGTGGAGTCTGCTTCTCCTTCTCCCTCTGCCCCTCCCTCTGCTTGTGCTTTCTCTGTCTCTTTCTCAGATAAATAAATAAAATCTGTAAAACAACAACAACAGGGGCGCCTGGGTGGCTCAGTCATTAAGCGTCTGCCTTCGGCTCAGGTCATGATCCCAGGGTCCTGGGATCGAGTCCCACATTGGGCTCCCTGCTCTGTGGGAAGCCTGCTTCTCCCTCTCCCACTCCCCCTGCTTGTATTCCCTCTCTTGCTGTCTCTCTCGCTGTCAAATAAATAAGTAAAATCTTAAATAAATAAATAAATAAAACAAAAAACAAAACGAACTTGAAATGCTTTAAGAACCACAAGAAAATCCTACAGGAAGATTTATGGGGCTACAAGGGGGTGGAGGACAGTAGTGCATTTTGATCACAGTTATTAGGGAGGTCTTCACGGAAGAGGAAACTTTTGAGTTGAACATGGAATGTTATGAAATTTGGATAGGCAGATTCAGAAACCTGGGAGGAAACAGTTCAAATTTTGATAACCTAGATGTTCTGGGACATTCTCAACCTAGGAGTTTGGTACTTGATAAATATACATCAGTAAGCATAATTCCAGTTCCAACATGTGGGGGTTTTCTGCCATCCAAGCAGTTCTCTGACACCAACTCAGTGTTTTACAATTCAACTCAATTCTGACAGTCTGCCTGATAGATCAGATCCCACAGTTTAAAGGTTTTCAATCCTATAAGACTAATCCCCCAACCCCAACTCCCACACACAGATGCCAGTGGCAAGTTCAGGTTGTCACCTAAGCTTTTTATCAACAGGCTATATAGATTGAAGTTTCCAACAACCCCCTTCTTAGGTTCAGTGAATTTACTAGAGTGGCTCACAGAACTCAGAGAAACATTTTACTTACTAGGTTACCAATTTATTATAAAAGGACATAACTCAAAATAGCTAGATGGAAGGGATGCATAGGGAAAGGTATGGTGAAAGGGGCTTAGAGCTTCCATGCCCTCTCTGAGAGGGCCACTCTTTTCAGTACCTCCATCTGGAAGCTCCAAACCCTAAACCTTTTCGGTTTTTATGGAGGCTTCATTACATGAGCATGACTGATTAAATCATTGGCCATTTGAGATTGAACTCAATCTCTCATCCCCTTCTCTTCCCTGGAGGTGGGGGAGGCGGGGTGTGGGATGAAAGTACCAACCCTCTGTAATCACAAGATTGGTTCCCCTGGCAACCACCCCCATCCTTATGTGACCCAGGGGCTTTCCAGTTGTCTCATTAACATCACAAAAGATACCTTTAACTCTTCACTTACGAAATTCCAAGAGTTTTAAAGGAGCTCTGTGCCAGCAACCAAATATATATTTTTTATTATAAAATCATAATATCATAAGAAGTATAGCAGATACCAAAGATAAATCATCTTTTTGTAAGACCAGTTATATTTTGGTCCCACATGTGTCCCATAACTCAGTTTTTTGCCCTAGGCTTTCAACCCTCATCTATCTTATTACTTATAAATGTTTTTGCTCAATGGTTGGTTTACAGCTTTGAAACTCAGAGGAATGGACTGGTGTTTATCTATGACATGTGTGGTTCTAATTATACCAACTTTGAGCTGGATCTTGGCAAGAAAGTCCTAAACCTGCTGAAGGTAAGGCTATGAGAGGACCCCTCAATTCTTCACTGGTTGGGATACTTTTTTTTGTTCTTTGGGAGACTTAGGAATGATGTAAACTTCAGACATTATGTTCAGTGTAAAGGTCACCTGTAAATGATGACCAATATGTGCTTCCTCAGAATACAAAATGGTCTTAAAAGTGAAGTGGGAGGAATTAAAAAAGAAAATGCACAGGAACATTCTGAGTCATAAAGGAGCATTGCCCCTTTCCTGGAGTTGTGTAGAATAAGAATGAAGGCCTAGGTATGTCTAGTGTTTGAAAAATGTCACATAGCCAATGATTTTCAGACTTTTTGTCTCCATCTAGTCAGAAATAGGTTTTACATGTTGACTTCATACACAAAAGTATATGTACACTAACCTATACACATACGTGTGGAGTTCTATATATAGATAAGTTCTTACTCTCTTATCCCAAACTCGTAAGTCCAGAGGTATTTTGTAATCTTTCGAACTTTAAAAGATAATATGGTATATGTGCCACTTTATAATCAAACACATTAATATTTTTGCAGTGAAATGTATTATTCATAATGAGTGGAGAACAATAAAGGCTATAATAGCCTGTGGCATTTCAGGTCAGATTTTGTTGCTCCATGAATTCTTGCACCAGACTTCAAAAGAAAATTGAGGTTTTCAGAGCTGTTTAGATTTCAGAGTCCCAGGATGAGGAAGGTGTGTAGATCTTTGTGTACATATTTATACACAGAACAAAAAAGTTTCACAAAACAAACTTTACCCCTTACTATGTGCAGTCACTTTAATTATTCTATTTCATATTTTTAAAAAGTTAGTCGTGAGTTACTAAATTAATTTGAGGACCCATTGATTGACAACTTGCAGTTTGAAAATCATTGATCTAGGAGCCTATGCAGCCTTTGTTCTAGGATCTAACTTGGGATTACTGTGGAACTAGATTTTTTAGAAGTGCTGTTACAGGTTTATAACAGAGTATATAGAGTATTATTATTGCATGTTGTTTTCTGGTACTTCCATTGGTCACTCATCATCATATTACTAAAATCCCTATTATGGCATTTAGCTGTGATTCAGTTCTTTTTATTGATGAGGATGATATATGATTTTTTTTTCTTTACAAATATGGAGTAATACTATATCCAATGGTTATAACTTGCCATTTTTTACTTAACAGTTGTGTCTTCGTCATCCTTCTATGTCAGTACATATAGCTATTACTCATTTCTTTTCTCTCTCACTTTTTTTTTTTTTTAAGTAAGCTCTGCACCCCACGTGGAGCTTGAATTCACAACCCTGAGATCAAGGGCTGCGTGTTCTAGCAGCTAAGCGGGTCAGACACCCCTTTCCTCACTTTTTTTAATGGCAGTAGAGTATTCTTTTTATGGATATATCAAGCAGAAAAAATGAAGTTCATGCCATTTTTTGTGTGTTACTATAAAGGCTTCAGTAAGTATTGTTTTACATACATTTTTGTCTGTTTGACCAATCATTTCCTCAGGATAAATTGCTAGAAGCAGATTTGTAGGGTCAAAGAGTTCACACATTTAAATTTTGATTAATACTGCCAAATAGCCCTCTAAAAACTTAGCTCAGATTTACACTCCCATCAACATCCTTTTTCACCAGTTTTATCAACATTGATTTGTTATTTGGATTTTTTTTTTTTTTAATATTTTATTTATTTATTTGACAGAGAGAGAGACAGCGAAGAGAGGGAACACAAGCAGGGGGAGTGGGAGAGGGAGAAGCAGACTCCCGCAGAGCAGGGAGCCCGATGCGAGGCTCGATCCCAGGACCCTGGGACCATGACCTGAGCCGAAGGCAGACGCTTAACAACTGAGCCACCCAGGCGCCCCTGTTATTTGGATTTTAATCATATTCACGTTTTTGTGGTGTTTCTCTTATTACTGATGAGCTTCAGTGTATTTTCATGTTTATTGCCAAGAGCTATTTAAATATTTTTTCTTTTCATATACTTTACTCAATTTTTTAAAAATATTTATTTATTTTAGAGAGAGAAGAGGGTGCACAAGAGCGAGCACACACAAGTTGGGGGAAGGGCAGAGGTAGAGGGAGAGACAGAATCTCAGACTCCCCGCTAAGCGCAGAGCCTGGGGCACCACCCTGAGATCATGACCTGAACCAAAACCAAGAGTCAGTTGCTCAACCTACTGAGCCACCCAGGCCCCCCTCATATACTCTACCCAATTTTTTACAAAAGTGTTTATCTCTTATTAGTTTATAAGAGTTGTTACTAAAAATATTATTAAGTAAAAAAAATATATTACTAAGTATGTGTTACCAGCATTTTTTATAGTTTCTTACTCAATTTTATGGTGTCTTTTCTCATACTGCCATGTTTTCTTTATTTTTTCATTGTAATCTTCGTATACTCTATATACTTTATTTAATAATATATATCATATATGATACATAATATTATAGATAAAATAATTTGCTTTCAAATAGCTATCCAGGCAACATTTACTAACTAAAACATTTTTTTTTCTACTCATTTGAGATAATACCTTTATATTACACTAAATTCCCATGGTAGGCATGTCTATTCTGACACTCTTTTCTATTGATCTAGCCATCTAGACCAATATATGCACTGTTTTATTTATTATAGTCTTAAATAAAGTTTAATATCTCATAGGTCAAGCTTCCTGTCACACTCTTATTTCTAAAAGGTGTTTTGACTATATTTTTTGCATTTTTATTCTTTTTACATGTACTTTTGTTTGCTTTTATTTAAATTTGTTTTTAAGATTTTATTTATTTGAGAGAGAGCAAGCAAGAGAGAGAGAGCACAAGGTGGGGTGAGAGGCAAAGGGAGAGAGAGAAGCAGACTCCCCACTGAACAGAGAGCCCTTTGCGGGGCTGGATCCCAAGACCCTGGGATCATAACCTGAGTTGAAGGCAGACGCTTAGCCCACTGAGCTACCCGGGCTCCCCTTATTTTATTTTTAAGTAATCTCTACACCCAACATGGGGTTAGAACTCACAACCCTGAGATCAAGAGTCACATACTCATGGGTGCCTGGCTGGCTCAGTAGGTGGGGAATGTGATTCCGTATCTTAGGGTTGTGAGTTTGAGTCCCATGTAGAGTGTAGTGATTACTTAAAAAAAAAAAAAAAAAACCTGCATGCTCTACTGACTGAGCCAGCCAGACACCCCCTCGTTCTTTTTTTTATTATAAAAGCAATTAAAAAGCAATTCAAGGAAATGTCTCTTACCCCCTCCCTCAGACACCCCAGTGCCATTGCACAGAGGGTACCCACTTTTTCCAAATTTTAGATCTAAATTTGATGAGAAAAAAAATTCTTTTTAAAGATTTACTTATTTGAGAGAGAGGGAGAATGAGCTGGGGAGGGGCTGAGTGGCTCGATCCCAGGATCTTGGGATCATGACCTGAGCTGAAGGCCGATGCTTAACGACTGAACCACCCAGGCGCCTCTGAGAAAATTTTTTTAAAAAATCATCATCTTTTGATGAGATGAACTTTAGAGTCATTCAGTCAAGTTTGGGGAAATGAAAGACTCTGGATTTCATTTGGCTATAATGAATTAAATTAATTTAGGGAGAATTGACATCTTTATAATTTTTTATCTCCCATCCAAGAATAGCTATACTTTTTGGGGTGCGAGGGTGGCACAGTCAGTTAAGCGTCAGACTCTTGGTTTCAGCTCACGTCTTGAGATGGGGCCCACTTAGGGCTCTGTGCTCAATGCAGAGCCTGCTTGAGATTGTCTCTCTGGGTCCCTCTGCCCCTCGAGCTTATGTTCTCTCTCTAGTAATTAATTTTAAAAAAGAATGCTATACTTTTTAAAAAGTCTTTTGTTATGTCTTTTTTTTTTTAAGATTTTAAAAATTTATTTGGGGGGGGGGGTGGGAAGGGGCAGAGGGAGAGGGAGAGAGAGAATCCCTGGCAGACTTCGTGCTGAGCTTAGAGCCTATGGCCCTAAGATCATGACCTGAGCTAAAACCAAGAGTCTGACCCTCAACCTACTAAAGCCACCCAGGTGCTCCTTGTTAGGTCTTTCAACAAAGTTTTAAAATTACTTTATCTATGTTACATGTGTCTTATGTAGTTTATTCCTAGGCTAAAAAAATATATTCATGTATTTAAAAACACAGCAGACACCAAGGATAAATTATCTTTTTTGTAAGACCAGTAACTTACAGGGAGAAAAAGAGAGGGATAGAAATAGCCTATGTGTGCCTAAGAATTATTATAAATCAGATGTTTTTACCATTATAATTTTATGCTGATTATTATTTATAGGGTGGCTAATTTTTTTCATAATTTATCTTTTACTTAAAATACTGTTATAATCAGAAAAAAATTTTCATTGTAGAAAATTTTGGACAACTCAGACATTAAGATTTATATTATGCAGAAATAAACACTGTTGACATTTTGGTGTATGGCACTTTCTTCTAGATGTTTTTCAATATGATCTTAATTATGTTCATACAATTTCAATATACAATAAGCTCCAAAAAGTTTATTTTATGAATATTTGTAATTGCTGAATAATAGTCTATCCTGTATTTACTATAATTTATTTAACCATTTCTATGTTGTTGGATATTTTTTCCCATTTTTTATAATAAAATTCTTTCAACAAACACTTTTATATTCATATCTTCTTTTTTTTAAGATTTTATTTACTTATTTGAGAGAGAGAGAGATAGCGAGAGAGAGAGCACGAGCAGCGGAGAGAGAGAGAAGCAGGCTCCCCCTGAGCAGGGAGCCCGACATGGGGCTTGATCCCAGGACTCTGGGATCATGACCTGAGCAGAAGGCGACGCTTAATCAACTGAGCCACCCAGGTGCCCCAGGATATAAACATTTTAAATAAGGTTGTAAAAAATAAAAGTAATACAAAGAATTATAGAAAATACAATAGAAGAATAAAATTAAAACAACTCATAATCTGGGGCGCGTGGGTGACTCAGTTCGTTGAGCGTCTGCCTTCGGCTCAGGTCATGATCCCAGGGTCCTGGGTTTGAGCTCCACATCAGGCTCCCTGCTCAGTGGGGAGCCTGCTTCTCCCTCTCCCGCTCCCCTGCTTGTGTTCTGTCAAATAAATAAATAAAATCTTTAAAAAACAAAAACCAAAACCACTCATCTTTTCAGAGATAAACTATTGAACTTTTGATATAATTCTTATAATCTTTTTTCTCTGTGAAAGTATAAATGTGTGTGTCATTTTTTTTTTTTTAAAGATTTTATTTATTTATTTGAGACAGAGAGAATGAGAGAGAGAGAGCACATGAGAGGGGGGAGGGTCAGAGGCAGAAGCAGGCTCCCTGCCGAGCAGGGAGACCGATGCGGGACTCGATCCAGGGACTCCAGGATCATGACCTGAGCCGAAGGCAGTCGCTTAACCAACTGAGCCACCCAGGCGCCCAATGTGTGTGTCATTTTTAAAACAAAATTAAGGTTATAGTTTTGATCCTGTTTAGTTTAATTAAGATTATATTGTGAGCATTTTCCATAGTGGCAAAAAAATCTTTGAAATCTTCATTTTAAAGGTTATATAATCTTATTATAGGATAATACCATTTTTGTTAACCCCTACCCATTTTCAGACATATATATTCTTTCCAGTTTTAAAGTACTATTTTTAACTATCAAAAATAAAGATGCAATAAACATTTCTGTTCATAAATCTTTGTGTTTCTGGTTATTTCCTTAGGATAGTCTCAGAAATGGACCAGAGGATATGCACATTTTTTTTTAAAGATTTCATTCATTTATTTGACAGAGACAGCGAGAGAGGGAACACAAGCAGGGGGAGTGAGAGAGGGAGAAGCAGGCTTCCCGCTGAGCAGGGAGCCCGATGCGGGGCTCGATCCTAGGACCCTGGGATCATGACCTGAGCCGAAGGCAGCCACTTAACGATTGAGCCACCCAGGTGCCCCAAATATGCACGTTTTTAAGGATATATAATGCTAGGTGCCTTCTAGAAGATGTAACTACTATCCCATCAACAGTATATGTGGATGCTATACAGTCATTTAAATGGAACAGGCCTGAGTATGTAGTTCTTTGCTCTGAAGAAGTAGATATAATGGCTTCTGCTTTTTAGTTATCATTTTGTGGAAATATAGGTATTTTTCCAGACTGCTTTTTGACTTGGCAGGGGCCTTGGCTATTTAGATCCTGAAATAAATTGTTGCCGTTTGAAGAGTTTATTTATTTATTTATTTTAGAGAGAGAGAGAGTGCATGTGAGCACATGCATGCAAGCGGGGGGTTGGGCAGAGAGAGGTAGAGAGAGGAACTCAAGCCGACTCTGCATGACTCTGCATGGAGCACAGAGTCCAATGCGGGGCTGCATCTCACGACTCTGAGATCATGACCTGAGCTGAAATGAAGAGATGCTTAACCAACTGAGCCATCCAGTTTCCCTTAAATTGTTGTATCTCAGACTTTAGTGAGGAGGAATATGGAGCATTTTGTTTTAGATACTGTATATTCTCTATTGGGAATGTTTGTGGACCCCCAAAATCAGTGGAAGAGTAGCCAGAGAGTGACATGTCAAATTGAGAATCAGTCTTTTGAAAAAGAATAGGGAGAAAGTGGTAGAAGATACTTAACTACAATTTCCTCTTTTTTGTTGTCTTTTTTGTTTTTTTGATTCCTTCGGAATAATTTCTTCCCAGTTACTTGGTATCCCTGCCTGTGAGAAGGGCTGGGATATTAAACTAAATGAAACCTAGAGCTGTGAATTAGGAATGACTAATTTTTTATTTTTGTGCTTTGTGCAGATCAGGGTGTCTCCTTCCCTTTAGATTTCATTTGCCCTTGTGCCCACTAGATTATATTTATTGACTGAATAAATGAATACATAACTAGATGAAGAGATGGGTAAAAAAGAATTATAAACACACAGATGTCAGAATAAAAGGTTATGAGAGATGTTTCTTTCATGTTCTGTTTATTCATGATCTAATTTTTCCTAAAGTTTCTAAAAGATTTTATTTTATTGTTTTAAAGATTTATTTATTTATTTGAGAGAGAGAGAGAGTGCATAGGGTAGCACCTGGGAGAGGGAGAGAGGGTCTTAAGCAGACTCTGCTCTGAGAGCAGAGCCTGACACCAGGCTGGATCTCACAACCCTGAGATCCCAACATGAGCCAAAACCAAGAGTTGGACACTTCACCAACTGCACCACAGAGGTGCCCCAAGATTTTATTTTACTTTTAAGTAATCTCTACACCCAACATGGAGCTTGAACTCACCAACTCCAGATCAAGAGTTTGCAATGCTCCATGGACTGACAAGCCAGGCGCCCCTTTTTTAAAGTTTTAATAAGCAGAACTTAAAAGACGCACACATATATACTGACAAGAGTCAGTATCAATTTTTGATCCATAAAGCTTATGTTCACAAGAACATAACATTGGAACTTTTAAAAGTGCCTGGGTGGGCTCAGTTGGTTAAGCATCTACCTTTTGCTCAGGTCATGATCCCAGTGTCCTGGGTTCCAGCCCCGTGTCAGGCTCTGCTCATCGGGGAGTCTGCTTCTCCCTCTGATTCCTTCTCCCTCAGCCTGCTGCTCCCCCTGCTTGTGTTCTTTCTCTTTCTCTCTGTCAAATTTTTTTTAAAAAGTAAATCACCTTTTAATTTTTTTATTGAGCTTTTAATTTTAATTCCAATATAGTTAACATACAGTTTTATGTTAGTTTCAGGTGTATAATTTTAAAATTTTTAACCACTTCTGTAATTACTGAAATGAAACCTGAATTAGGCTTTAGACTCCCCCTGCTGGGTAAGGATGGGGAAAAGAGCAGAAAACCTACACTCTGGGTTTGAACAGTCACAGATTCCAGTGCCTTAATTGATATCTTTAAATTTTCATGTGTGTTCTCCACAGGGAGCATTTCCTGCTCGTTTGAAAAAAGTACTGATTGTGGGAGCACCAATATGGTTCCGAGTGCCCTATTCCATCATCAGCCTCCTCCTGAAGGACAAAGTCCGGGAGAGGGTAAGGCATGCTTTATTTTATTTGTAGGTGGAGGTGGTTATTTGAAGAAGGTGGTGAACTTCCCATTTCTACTGTTGAAACCTGCCAATTAATTTTTTACCTTCAATAAAATTCTTCCGGCCTGTCTCTTAAAGTGCTTTCTGCTTCTGTTAGTGTATCCACTTATATTCTCTGCTTTATTCTTTACTCAGGTCAGTACAGGCTTCCTCTCTCACTGTACTACAAGTTCTTTGAAGTTAGGAGCTAGACATAGTTTGTCTGGCACTCTCCCTCCATAGCACCTTACATAGAGATAGCACTGAAGGAGTGTGTCCCGTGGATAACTTAGGGATAGCTACTCCTTCCAAAAATTAGCCTAGTGCTCTTCATGCATATTTAACGATTTCTAATAGACTTAGTTGAACTGGTGTTTGAATTTGTTCAAGTATAAATATTAATCTGTCCTTTGACCACCAGCATGGTGGAGGAGAATTTCTCACTATATTTCTTTATATGTCTACTTCCATTACTGGCATTTTCTCTTAAAACACCCTGCTGCTTCCTAACTTCAAAAGTGTTGTCTAAAATTATCGTAATTCTGTTATTACCCCTGAGTATTCTAGGACTGAAAGATTATGGTTTTATTCATTCTTTCATTTCTCACCCTTGAAAGAAAGGGCACATGAAACATTGACACAATCTAATTATAGTTGTTGTGAAATATTATTAGAGATTTTTGTAGTATAGAATTACGAGGTTATATCAACAACAATGCAGATCTCTATAGCTGGGGAGACTTGTGTTGGAGAGGGGAAACTGAAGACGTTTGGCTCTGTGGAAGTACTTAGGGATCTATTGAAGGAGAGTAGGAGAAATCTTTTCCAAGGTACTCTTTGATAGAGGACTCCTTAGGCAAATTCTTGCACTTGTTATATAGAAGTATTAATGTGTGTATAAACTCAAAATATATGCGCACCTTTACAGTCCAGGCTCTGGGCCCTGGGAATTAAAAATGGAGTGAGATTTTCCTTACCCTTACGGAGCTCATGTTCCTGATAGGGAACACAGAGGTAGACATGTACAGAGAACTGTGGCCCTACAGGAGCACAAAGGAGAATATTGTATCGAGCAGTCAGGGAGGGCTTCACAGAAGAGGTGAGCTTTATAAGCTTGTCCATGAAGAGGCCGAGGAGGAAAAGAGGGCATTCCAAGAAGGGACAACAGCAAGAGTGACAAACATTCCCATTTCACACAGATTTCATGAAAAACTAACTAGGCCAATTTTGTCCAGTAAGGCTGTGTCTAAGCAGAGAGCAGAATTAGGATTACTTTTTTGGCAGTTTTCCTGGGCTACCCTGTATTGGGTGACTGGTCTAGTGTTATTTTCCTAGAAAGCTACCTTTGAGAACATCCATACTGAGCTGTGAGTAAAGCACCAGGCTTAGAGTTGGTTACCTTAGTATGGAGTTGACCAAAAAAAATCACTGCCTGTGCATTCTTAATAATCAAAATGGCAAATACCTGCATGAGATGTCACTGGGAAGCGTTGTTAATAGTATAAAGGCTTTGTTAAATGTACCTTCCTTTTGAGGTATATAACGAGGCTCCCGGGGCACTAACTGGCTCGGTCAGTAGAGTGCATGACTCTTGATCTCAGGGTCGTGAGTTTGAGCCCCATGTTGGGTGTAGAGATTACTTAAAAATAAAATCTTTAAAAAGGTAGGGACAAATTCTAGGAGTGAATTTGATATACATTCTAGGAAGTCAGACCTTTGGGGAAATTATAGGACTTTAATCCCAGGCAGATGAAATGCAGTCTACTCCTTTTACAAGTATACCAAGTATTTCAAGCAAATCTCATCCCATTCTTCAAACCTAATATAAACACATTTGTTCTTTATCTTCACTGTCTTTTTTTCCTGTCCATACTCACATGGTTCTTTCTGGCTTTCCAGATTCAGATATTAAAGACATCTGAGGTCACCCAGCACCTGCCCAGGGAGTGCCTTCCAGAAAACCTGGGTGGGTACGTCAAAATTGACCTCGCGACTTGGAATTTCCAGTTTCTTCCCCAGATGAATGGCCACCCAGACCCCTTCGATGAGATCATCCTGTTCTCCCTCCCTCCTGCCTTAGACTGGGACTCAGTACATGTTCCAGGCCCCCACGCCATGACCATCCAAGAATTGATGGACTATGTTAGCACCAGGCAAAAGCGGGGGATATATGAGGAGTATGAAGACATCCGCCGTGAGAACCCTGTTGGCACTTTCCACTGTTCTATGTAAGTAGGAAAAGTTTGGGCCGACAGTGGGTTACCAACATGCTTCTGGTGCATGCTGGCAACAGCTCCATCCACATCTCATTTCCTTTAACAGAGGCTCTTCCTTGTGTTAAGGAGCATCAGTCTCACTCAGATGATGGTTCTCTCATCCAGAAAGAGGCACCTCCTGCTTTGGTGCCTATTGCCAATATCCTATATTCTGAATTTCTGAAGGTCCTTTAGTACCAACAGGGGAACCATGTAATAATGGATGCATAAAAGATTTTCCTGAATGCAAATGTTTTGGGGAAGAAAATAGGTTCAAAATATAGGTTCAAAAAAGTGGGTTCAAAAATGTAGGCTCTCTATTCCTGTCTTCAGTGTGATCTCTGGACCTTACATTTGGGCAGTTTCTCCCTAGAGCATTTATAGTATAACATTACTTTCTTAGGAGGGGTGCTGGTGCATTTAAAATAATCCACAGTCAGTAAGAGAAAAGAGTTAACTCTTAGGAATTTGGCCTTGTAGGATTTTCTTTCTATCCAAATCTTACTACAGAACTACCTGGCTAGTTTATAACTGGTTCATAATTACTTTGTAACTATTGTTGGCCATAGGGCATAGATCATTTTTCTTACTGCTCTCGTTTTACCCTGTTTTCATTGGCTGCAGTAGAAATTTCTGTCTCTCTGTTGAAAACTAGAGTAACTGTCCCAGGCTCAAGTTCCAGCATAGCCCAAAATCCCTTCTGTGATTTATGCAGGTTATTTCCCTTGCCTGCACCCCAGTTTTCCTATGTGTAATACATGATGTTAGACTCTGATATCCACCTGCTTGTGTAGCTTAAATGTTTTAGGTATCCATGATTCCGTGAATACGTCTTGCCCCTTGTAATTCCTGTCCAGCTTAGTCAGTGTACTGTAAAGAAGATGCAGAGAGAGACTTAGCAAAAGGAAAGAGGGAAAAGAATGAGTTAGGAAACCAGTAAGAGAGAAGAAACACTTGAGAAGAAAGTCAATAGGCAGAGCAAGAATGCAAAGCAAAGAGGGGAAAAAAAAAAAAGCAAGCATATATCAAAGTGGAGAGAGTGTCCTTTTCTCCCACACAGCTGTTTCTTTCTTAGCAGTTCACAACCTCTATATGCATCCAGTCTTTCTCCCAACCAGTTTTTCCCCCGAACTTTTTTTTTTTTTAAGATTTTATTTATTTTTTGAGAGAGAAAGAGACAGCAAGAGAGGGTTCGAACACAAGCAGGGGGAGTGGGAGAGGGAGAAGCAGGCTTCCCGAGGAGCAGGGAGCCTGATGCGGGGCTCGATCCCAGAACTCCGAGATCATGACCTGAGCCAAAGGCAGACGCTTAATGACTAAGCCACCCAGACGCCCCTCCCCCTGTACTTTTGAATCAAGGAAGTATTATGGAACAGAGAGGAGTACTGGGCTGCTCTAAGAGGATGCATACTTGACTTGGGGATTCCTAACTTTGTTCTGACTAGATTCTGATTAGATTAGACCACTAATCTGGTCTCTGTTATTGTAGTTTTTCATTTCAAGAATGTTCTTATATAAATGGAATCATACCATAAGTAACCTTTTGGGATTGGCTTTTTTCCCTCAGTATAATTCCTTGGAGATTCACCCAAGTTGTTGTTACATGTATCGATAGTTCATTCCTTTTTATTGCTAAGTACTATTCCATGGTATGAATGGTTTAACTGTTCACCTAGGTTATTTAGAGTTTCTGGCATTTAAAGTAAAGCTGCTATGAATGTTTGTGTCTAGGTTTTGTATGAACACAAGTTTGCATTGCTCTCGGATAAATGTCCAAGAGTGTGATGGCTAGGTCATATGGTAATTAGATACTTAGTTTGATGAGACACTGCCCAGCTTTTTCCAGAGCGGCTGTACCATTTGACGTACCCTAGCAATGTCTGAATGATCCAGTTTCTTGGCATCCTCACCAGCAGTTGCTGTTGCCAACACCATTTTCTGTTTTAGTTGTCCTAATAGGTGTGCAATGAGGTCCCATTGTCAGTGTAATTTACATTTCTCTAGTAGTTAATGATATTGAACATCTTTTCATGTGCTTATTTACCATCTATATATCCTCTTTGTAAAATGTCATACCTTTTTCCCATTTTCCATTTGGACTTTTTTTTTAAACTATTGAGATTTGAGGTTTTTTTAAATATATTCTAGATGTATGTTCTTAGTTGGATACATGGCTTGCGGATATTTTCTTCTAGTCTGTAGCTTATCTTTTCATCCTCTTAACATGGTCCCTGGTGAAGCACAAGTTTTTATTCTGATAAAGTTCTTTAATCAAGTTTCCCTTGTATGGATCACACTCTTGATGTCAAATCTAAGAACATGTAACCCTAGATTCCAAAGATTTTCTCCTTTTTTTCTAAACATTTGATAGTGTTATGTTTCACATTTATTTAAGTCTGTGATCCATTTGAATTAATTTTTGTTTAAGAGGTAAGGTTTAGGTTGATGTTGAGTGTGTGTATGTGCACACACATTTGCGTGTGTCTGTGGATATCCAATTGCTCCATTTGCTGAAAAGTCCTTCCTCCATTGAATTGTTCTTGGGATTTTGTAAAATATCAGCTGGACTTATTTGTGTGGGAAGAGGGAATTTTTTAAAATATGGAAAAGTACAGAATATAACGTGATAAACAACTATGTTCCTGTCACCAGAATTAATACTGACAATTTTTAATATTTTGTCATATTTGCTCCATCTTTTTTTGTTATTAAAAGAAAGAATTCAGGGACGCCTGGGTGGCTCAGTCGGTTAAGCGGCTGCCTTCGGCCGGGGTCATGGTCCCAGGGCCCTGGGATCGAGTCCTGCATCGGGCTCCTCGCTCAGCAGGGAGCCTGCTTCTCCCTCTCTCTCCCTCTTCTTGTGCTGTTTCTGTCAAATAAATAAAATCTTTAAAAAAATAAAAAATAAAAGAAGGAATTCATTGTAAATCCCTTCTAATTCTCACCCTCAGTTCTCCCCTCTTCCCCAGAAGCAGCAACTAGTATGAATACGGTACATTTCCTTCCAGACTATTTTGCTTATTCCATTACATATTTGTTGGTAACTATGAACAATAGAATATTATTTTATATTAGAGTAATATTTATATTTTAGTAATTTTTTTTGCTTCTTGATCAATATATGTACAGCTTTTTTTTTAAAACAAAATAGTACCGAAGAATAGGAATGCTAAAATTAATGGCAATCCCTGGGCGCCTGGGTGGCTCAGTCGTTTAGCGTCTGCCTTTGGCTCGGGTCATGATCCCAGGGTTCTGGGATCGAGCCCGCATCGGGCTCCCTGCTCGGCGGGAAGCCTGCTTCTCTCTCTCCCACTCCCCCTGCTTGTGTTTCCTCTCTCACTATATCTCTCTCTGTCAAATAAATAAATAAAATCTTAAAAAAAAAAATTAATAGCAATCCCCTGCCTTACCCTTGGTTCCTCTAGGTATCCATTTTCAACTCTTTTTTTTTTTTTTTAAGATTTTATTTATTTACTTGACAGACACAGCGAGCGAGGGAACACAAGCAGGGGGAGTGGGAGAGGGAGAAGCAGGCTTCCCGCTGAGCAGGGAGCCCGATGCGGGGCTCGATCCCGGGACCCTGGGATCATGACCCGAGCTGAAGGCAGACGGCTTAAAGACTGAGCCACCCAGGCACCCCCATTTTCAACTCTTAATAGCTGTTTCTTCTGGTATTTCTTCTATGATTCTAAATAAAATACTTAAAATACTCTTCATTGATTTTTATGGTAGGTAAGCATTTGGTTCTTAACACCCTGTCTCCAGTTCACTTTTCACTGTTTTTCCAATATAATTATGTCATATTTTTTTTTATTAAATCAATAGTCATTGTTTAAATTATTATGGCTTTGTAAATTTTTCTAACGCAGAGATGGGCTTCTATGAAATCAAATATATTAAGTTTTATCAATTCAATTTCTTGTTTCTTCTGGAGTTAATTACCTAATTTAAAAAAAATTTTTTTAAAGATTTTACTTATTTATTTAAGAGAGAAAGGAAGTACAGAGGGAGAGGAGAAGCACTCCCCGCCAAGCAGGGAGCCCGATGCGGGGCTCGATCCCAAGACCCTGAGATCATGATCTGAGCTGAAGGCAGACACTTAACTGATTGAGTCACTCAGGCGCCCCAGTTACCTAATTTTTTCATCTGTTTTTACTTTTCCATGTTCCTATCTTTATTTTTTTCCCTATGCTTAATCAAATTTATTTTACACTATTATTAGTATTTTCCAAGTGGTCAAATATATCAGATAATGAATTGATTGTTTTGGTTTTTTTTCCCTTGGAGACTTCACTTCCAGAAGTTTTTGGGGTTTTGCTCCAGTCTAAACTGAGGTTGGTGTTGTCTGGACTTTTTCCTGATTTCCGCCCCCACTTTCCTTTATTGGCTCTTGTTTCCTGGTTCCCCCATCTTCTTTCTTTACTTAGTTTTGTTAGAGCATAGAATTCTAGGTTGGAAATAATTGTACCACAGAACTTTTAAAACAATCCCTTTTTAATTAGTAGCAATGCAACTAAACAGTCTGATGTTATTCTTATTCCTTCTCAAGACATTTTGGACATTTTTAGATAATCTCTGTCTTTCCATTTAAAAATTTCACAGTGATATTTCTTGCTTGGTGTGGGTCCTTTTTTTCATTCATTTTATTGGGTTCTTGATAGGTTCTTGCACTCTGAAGGCTTGTGTTTTTAGTTCTAGGACTTTTTTTTTTTTACATTAGTTGTTTTTCATTCTCTCTTTCCTTGTATTATGTCAGTGCTCTCTTTCTGGACTATTTCTCTCAGTCTGGTTGGATCTCCTAGATCAGAGATTGACAAACTTTCTCTTGAAGGGCAAAATAGTAAATATTTTAGGCTTGTGGGCCTTTACAATCTCTATTGCAAGTGTAATCAACTCTGCCATTATAGTGTGAAAAAAGTCATAGACAGTACTAAACTGACAGGCTTGGTTGTGTTCCAATAAAATTCTTATTTACGAAAACAGGTTGCTGACTCCTGCTCTGGAATGATTGTCTTGTTTTCTTAAATTTTTCTTATATTTTTCATCACTTTGACTTTTTGTTTTATTCTGGAAAATTTCTTCAACTTTCTTTTTCATCTCTTCTATTAAAGTTTTTACTTTGGATATCCTATTTATTTTCCAAGAGCTTTTCTTCTCTGTTCCTTTCTCATAGCATCCTATTTTTGTTTCATAGATATAGTACCTTTTTCTGTCTGAGGGTATTAATTATAGCCTTTTAGAACTTATTTTTTCTTACTGACACTCTTTTGTGCTTTTTCCCTGCCATGTGTTTGATTGGTTTCTTTTTTGTGTTGGAGCCTTCTGTAATTATCTGGAGATCTTTGGCTGTTAGTTTACACTGTTGAGGGGGAGGTCCTTAAAAGCTGCTTGGAAATGCTGTTTGTGTGAGTGATCTTCAAATTTAAATAATCAGCTAGCTTGTTGTTGGTGTACTCTAGGTGACAGAATTCTTTAATGTAGGGCTATTCACTTCCTCCATAGAGGAATTCTCCACTCTTTTGCTTGGGAGGGTCCAAGCTTGATGTAAGTATAGGATAGGAGAGAATAGGGAGAAGAGGGCTGGGAATTCTCACTGTCTGTCATTCAGATTTTCACTTATTCCTCTGTTTTTAACCCTGTGACTCGCCTTGCTTTCCAGGGTGTGGGATTGGTGAGAGTGAGTCATTGTGTCTCTCTGTAGATACCTCTGTGGGTCCTAGTTTTCTGCATTTGGCCAAGTCAGCCAAAATTCTTCCATCTGTTTTCTCTCTGCCAAAATGGATTTCACTCTTTATCTGCTGAAGTCTCTGCCATCACTTTTGGGGTTTGTACTGATTAGTGCCTTTATACTGAGGCTACAAGACAGAGTGGAGTCAGGGCACCTGGGTAGCTCAGTCGTTAAGTGTCTGCCTTCGGCTCAGGTCATGATCCCAGTGTCCTGGGATCGAGCCCCGCATCGGTCTCCCTACTCCGCGGGAAACCTGCTTTCCCTCTCCTACTCCCCCTGCTTGTGTTCCCTCTCTCGCTGTGTCTCTCTGTCAAATAAATAAAATCTTAAAAAAAAAAAAAAAAGATAGAGTGGAGTCAAACATATGTTGTCAACCTACCATGTTCAACTGGAACTTAGGTTTCTTAGCAGCCAGATTTTTTTGGTGCAATATCCCTATTTCCCTCTCATTTTCTCTTTTGAATGGAAATAATCTTTATTTTCACAGGAATACATACATATTAAAGATGTTAAATGATATGGAATATGGATAGACTAGACCATTGCTCCATGTCTCCAACACCAACAGTAACGGATACCCACCTTTGCACCGCTGGACTTTGTGTTTACACATACATGCTGCTTCCACCTTTTCTTTGTCTTTGTTTTAGTTTGTCTGTTTCATTTTCTTCAGGTCTCCAGGAAACCTAGAGAAGAACCGCTATGGGGATGTACCCTGCCTGGACCAAACTAGAGTGAAGTTGACCAAACGAAGTGGCCACACTCAGGTACACAGATAAATGCTATATTTTCAGGAGCACTTAGGGAAATTTTCCAAAGTGAAGCTTACTAGTATCATAGTAGAAAGAACATGGACTCTAAGCCAGAGAGATCAGATTGGCGTTTTAACTTTGCTATATACAAGTTAGTCTGTTACCATAAGCAAGTCCCTATAAGCCCATCTCACAGTACGAAGTGGAGATTAAATGGAAAAATTTATGTAAATGCTGATAGTGCAAGGTCTGGTATATCATAGATGCTTGATAAATGTCAATTATTTCTCCATTTACTCCTTAGTTGTAAAATTATAGTCCTATTGTCTATCATATTAATGAGTGTATATGTAGCAATACAAGGCAACTCTAATTATAAGTGACCTATGATTTTTTTCATCTAGAAGATCTTAAAATACCTTTGGACAACTAGTGTACACATAAATATCTAGGGATAGAGTTAAAATGTTCAAATGATTATATTATTTAATGTATTAATTTGATCATATCTTCATGTTAAAAAATCACACGTATATACACTATAGTGAAACTCTTCACATGCACCTTTAACATCAGTGTCTTTGCCCTCATTTGAGCCACTTCCTGAGTCAATCTAACAGTTTTCCAGAGCACACAATTTTTACTTCTTTTTTTTTTTTTCAATTTTTACTTCTTTTTAAGTATATGGTATTGTGACTGAAAAGCTTATCCTAAACCAGAAAGACCTATTAGCATAACATTAACACAGCTTATTCTTTCCTTTCATCCTGTATCTCATGCATTTTCTGTAGCATAATCATTCACTTATTCTTTTTTAAAGTCCTCTTTATCATCCAACACTTAGAATTTTGAGGTCAACAACTAAGTATGTGTTACATTTCTTCTTTTTCCTTTGGATATACCAGTTTTGTCTGGTGCCCTCCATATGCATCAAAAAAATAGCATTGGGGCACATGGGTGGCTCAGTCGGTTGAGCATCTGCCTTCAGCTCAGGTCATGATCCCAGGGTCCTGGGATCAAGCCCCGCATTGGGTTCCCTGCTCAGTGGGAAGTCTGCTTTTCTCTCTCTCCCTCTGCCCCGCCCCCTGCTTGTGCTCTCTCACTTTCTTTGTCAAATAAATAAAATCTTAAAAAAAAAACAGTATTGATTGAGGCTGTTGTTCAAAGTAAAGAAATTTAAATAGTGCCCCTTTAACATGACACACATTATAGGGACTTGTTACATCCCCTCTCTTTTTTCTGGGGGATAATTTTTTTTTTTAATTAATTTATTTATTTGACAGAGAGAGACACAGCGAGTGAGGGAACACAAGCAAGGGGAGTAGGAGAGGGAGAAGCAGGCTTCCTGCAGAGCAGGGAGCCGGATGTGGGACTCGATCCCAGGACCCTGGGATCATGACCTGAGCCGAAGGCAGCCGCTTAAGGACTGAGCCACGTAGGCGTCCCTCTGGGGGATAATTTTTGAGAAAATTGTTGCCTTGTATTTGGGTATATAGGATACGTGGATCGGGACCCTAGGATCATGGTTTTAATCTCTTTTGACCCTACCATTTCAAGTATATAAACTGAATTCAATCGATCCTCGGCCTTTTGGCTAAGATCATGTGTAAACTGCATTTATAGCCCTGTCCAGGACCCTTACAAAAGGGTCTTCCTGGGGCAGCTGGGTGGCTCAGTTGTTAAGCTTCTGCCTTCGGCTCAGGTCATGATCCAGGACTGCCTGCTCAGCGGGGAGCCTGCTTCTGCCTCTCCCACTCCTGCTTGTGTTCCCTCTCTCGCTGTCTCTCTCTCTCTGTCAAATAAATAAATAAAATCTTTAAAAAAAAAAAAGGGTCTTCCTGCAGGACCATTAACTCAGAGTCTGGCTGACTTAAGGTAAGTTGATCACTCTTACTGAGATCATCAAGTATATGCTCTCAAGGAGTGGTGTATAATGGTTAAGTTGGGGCTCAGGAGTCAGCTGTATTTATCTGTCTTCTTGACTGCTGTGTCTCCAGTACCTAGAACAGTACATATCACACCTTCAGTAAATTATTTGTGAAGGAATGAGTGAATCCCAGTGTACCAGCAGACTATTCTAGTCATCCTATAATTAAAGATCATCACTTGAATTAAATTCCTTTCATTACTGCAAACACTGGCAGAAGCTTTATTTCCACAATAAATGGTGGATTCAGGTTTATTAGTGAATTGTTCACCAGATTTGCTCCTGGAATTATAAAGCTATTAGTCACAGTTTCTGTTGAACTTGGCCCATAACATAGTGTACTTGGTTTGATTCTGCTATTTCAGTTTGCCCCCAAATCTATACTTTATCTCTGAGGTCATTTTCAGTTTTAATTTCTGATGATTCTTCTGAAATTGCTGATTTTAATTCCCAGTGCTCTCAGAGACAAGGATACCGAAAGCTGGTATCCTTATTTATAAAGAAATAGTATGTCTTCATTAAAGAAGTGTATTTCTTTTCAAAGCATGAAGGTAGTTCCAAGAGTAACAGCTTGTACATTACTTACAGAATAGTGTTGACTGGCATGTACCAGGGAAATCCTTTATATTTTTCTATGCCTTCTTGCCTGGGTCCTGCAGGTTTGAGTCACTCTGACCTCCCTAGAGTGGAGTCAAGTATGAGTTTTCTCTAGTCTGACATGGAAACTTTTTGTCTTTTGTCCTCCTATTCCCCTCCACACCCTCTGCTATTCATAGTACCTGCTAGGTACTCTCAACTAGTTATACTACGACTTGACGCTGTAGCTGCATCTGTGTTTCTCTTTTACCAGCTTGGATTATCAGCAAGGATGTTGGCAGAGATCTTGTGAGAAGGTATAATAAAAGTAATAAAAATTAAAATCCTATGTAATTTCCCTGATAGCTAATGATGTTGAAATAAGACTGAGGACACGAGGAGATAAGAGAAGGACCCCAGAAGAGAATGAGTCAAGAGCTGTTCATTGAGACCTTTCTGAATTTGTCTGGCTGTTGCTTTGTGTTAATTCAGGTAGTAAAGGAGCCTGGGTGTTTGGCCCATACTGTTGATGGTGCTAGATATGAGGTATAGCTTTCTTCCCTCTCCAGTCACACTTTGCCTTTTGTGTGTGGAAGCATGGACAGGATGTTCCTGCTCAGGGTGCTTGGCTTGCCTCCCATTTGGTTTTGAACCAGTGCTGCAAGTCTTAATGGGCTCCTTTTTTGGTAAATAACAGCTTTATTGAGATGTAATTCACATATCATACAATTTATCCATTTAAAGTGTATAGGGGTGCCTTGGGTGGCTTAGTTGGTTGAGTGTCTGACTCTTGATTTCAGCTCAGGTCATGATCTCAGCGTCCTTGGATTGAGCCCCATATCTGGGTTTGCACTTGGTGGGGGGGAGGAGGTGGTTCTGCTTGAGATTCTGTCTCTCCTCTCCCTCTGCCTTTCCCCCCATTCACACGCACATTTTCTCTCTCTCTCTCTCTAATAAATAAATAAAATCTTAAAAAAATAAAGCATATAATTCAGTGGTCTGGTTTTTGTCCTTTTTTTAAAAGATTGATTGATTTTGAGAGAGAGCACAGGCGCTTGCAAGTGGGAGGAGGGGCAGAGGGAGAGACTCTCCCACAGATTCCTTCCCGAGCATGGAGCCCAAAATGGGGTTCATCTCTTGACCTATGAGATCATGACCTGAGCTGAAAGCAAGAGTTGGACGCTTAGCTGACTGAGCCACCCAGGTGCCCCTAATTCAGTGTTTTTTAATATATTCACAGAGTTGGGCAACCACCACTACAATGAACTTTAGAACATTTTTATCACCTGAAAAGAAACTCCATAGACTTGGCAGTCACACCCCATTTTCTCCCAGTCTGTGTACTTTCTGTCTCTATGGATTTGCCTATTTTGGACATTTCATATAAATGGAATCATACAATATATAGCTTTTGTGTCTGGCTTCTTACATTAGCATGTTTGCAAGGTTCATCCATGTTGTAGCATGTGTCAGTACTTCACTCCATTTTATTGCTAAATAATATTCCATTGTATGGATATGCCACCTTTATTTACCCATTCATCAGGTGAATACCATTTGAGTTGTATCCATTTTTGGCTATTATAAAAAATGCTGTTATGAATATTTGTGTGTAAGTTTTTCTATGGACATATGTTTTCATTTCCCTCCGGAGTGGAATTGCTGGGTCATATGGTAACTTTGTGTTTAACCTTTTGAAGAACTGCCAGACTGTTTTCCAACATGAGTGCACCATTTTACATTCCCACTAGGGGTATATGAGGGTTCCAGTTTTTTCACATCTTTGCCAACATTTGTTATTATCCATCTTGTACCTGTAGCTATCCTAATGGGTATGAAGTTGTATCTCATCATGGTTTTGACTTTTCACTTTTTTTTTTTAAGTAGGCTCCATGACCAGAGCAGAGCTCAACATGGGGCTCGAACTCACGACAGTGAGAGCAAGACCTGAGCCAAGAACAAGAGTCGGATGCTCGACCCAGGCGCCCCTCATTATGGTTTTAATTTGCATTCCCTGGTGGCTAATGACGTTGAGCATGTTTTCATGAGTTTATTGGCCATTTGTATATCTTCTTTGGAGAAATATCTATTCTGATCCTTTGCCCATTTTATTTTTTGGGTTTTTTTTTTTGTTGTTTTTTTTTTAAGTAGGCTCCATGCCCAGCATGGAGCTCAATGTATGGCTTGAACTCATGACCCTGAGATCATGACCTGAGCTGAGATCAAGAGTCAGACGAGTAAATGACAGAGCCACCCAGGGGACCCCCTTTGCCCATTTTGAAATTGGGTTGTCTTTTTACTGTTGAATTGTGAGAGTTCTTTATATATTCTAGATACAAGTCCCTTATCAAATATGTGCATTCTGTAGATGGTTTTACTTTCTTGATGGTGTCCTTTGAAGCACAGAAGTTTTTAATTTTAATGTAGTTCAACGAACCTGTTTTTTCTTTTACTGCTTGTACTTTTGGTGTCATATCTAAAAAGGCTTTACCTAACCCAAGGTCACAAAGATTTAATCCTACATTTTCTTCTAGGAGTTTTATAATTTTAATTCTTAACATTAGGTCTGTGATCCATTTTGAGTCAGTTTTTGTGTTTAGTATGAAGAACATGCCGGCTTGATTTTTTTTTTCCTGCATGTGGATATCCAGTTGTTCCAGTAACATTTGTAGAAACAAAGTTTTGAACTGATGCTTTTGCTCCTCACTGTCTGTCTGACAGGAAAAGAATATCTACACCTTGGGTTTTATTTACCTAGTACATAATTTTCCCACCCAAATGGTGTATTCCACACAGCTGCAATGATATTTCCTTTTTATCATTAGACAGATTACATCAATGCCAGTTTCATGGATGGCTACAAGCAGAAGAATGCTTACATTGGTACACAAGGTAAGTTAGGGTGCTCCTTACAAGTTGGTTTTATGTCATCTACCTATGATCTCTTGCACCAAATGATTGCATAGTTTTTGAAGGTAACTTGAGGTGATGTTGTGGCCACTAAATCCTGGTGTTTCATAAAGCTTGGGTGTTATTGAGAAGGCAAAGGAGAGGTATAGAGTTTCTGTACCAGATATGCGTGGAAACTTGCTGTGTAGAGATAAACTGGAGATTTGAACATACAACACTACTACAAGTTTTTGGACTATGCATTGCCAACCCAGGGGAATGGGACATCAGAACTCATTGGCCAGTGAGATGCTCTTTATGTCCAGTAGGAGGCCAGAAGTGGCAGTGGAGCTTCTCAGAGATTGAGTCCAGTCTATGAAAGGGTGTTGCTGTCCTAAGAGACTTTTGCTGGTTCCTATACCATCAGAGAGTACCCAGCAGTCTTCTGATATGGATAGTCTATACTAGGTCTGACAGTGAAGATTTCAGATAAGAGTTTCTACGAATGCTCCTGTGGGCTCCAGTAGTCCTCCTAATCTGGCCTCGGCCATCTCAAGGAGAATACCAAGTTGCCTTCAAAAAGGGTGGGGAGAGATCAGAACACAGGAGGACATAAGAGGCCACCTTATGGGCTTTAGGCCCTTTGACCATTGCAGAGCATGGCCAGCAAGAGATCTGGCAAATACCTCTTTAGCAAGTGATCAAACTTAGTATCACCAATAATAGACAGATATCATGCCTCTGTTGTGATATAGTGAGAACTATATAACATAACCTTTATTGTTTGTTGCCAGTTTTTAAGTCTGAATCTAATCATGAAAAGTAAACCAGACAAATCCAGATGGTGGGACATACTATTAGAAAACTGGCTTAGACTCTTCAAAGTTAATGCCAAGAAAAACAAAAGCAGGGAACTATTGTAGATTAAAGGAGACTAAAGAGACATGGTAACCAAAGGCATGTGCCCATTATTGGAACTTCAGTTTAGAGAAGAAAACTGTTAATGACAAACTTGGGATAATTGGGGACTGTATATTAGATAATATTATTGTATCAGTGTTTAATTGTTTCAGTGTGATAATGGTATCGTTCTATAGGATAAAGTCCTTGTTCTTCTAAATATGTGCCCAAGTATTTAGGAATAGGTGTCATAATTTCTTTCTTTTTTTTTTTTAAGATTTTATTTATTTATTTATTTGACAGAGATCACAAGTAGGCATAGAGGTGGGCTAGGCAGAGAGGGGCGGGGGGAAGTAGGCTCCCCGCTGAGCTGAGAGCCCGATGTGGGGCTCCATCCCAGGACCCTGAGATCATCACCTGAGCTGAAGGCAGACACTTAACCAACTGAGCCACCCAGGAGCCCCGAAATGTCATAATTTCTGGAACTAACTTTTAAATAGTTACAAAATAAAAAGTGTGTGTATTTATAGATAGAAATAAATGTTGAAATAATAGCTAAAAATGATAGCTTTCGAGCTAAAGAATTTATGAGTATGTAGTAGTAGTCTTTCAACTTTTCGTTGGTTTCAAATTTTTCAAAATAAAGTGAGGGAGAAAAAAATGGATTCTTGATATATTGTTAATTGGTCTGATGGTCACAGGTTTATATTTTTCTCCTAGGAGGGACCACTCCCTCCTAGAAGAGTCCTTTTAAGACCCTAAGAAGAAATGAGAATTATCAGGAAAAATTTTTGGCATATACAATATGACATGATCTGCCTGAGAGTAGGGGCTTTGTTGGGAAGGATGGCGTTGGCAGATTGGGCTTATGGAGGGTAAGGATTGACTCGAGGGTACCCCAGAATGCTTCCTTCTCCAGGTTTAGAAGGCAAAGCTACTACTCAGAGTTGCGGGAATTTGATTCTTTAGGGTGGCTTTGAAGGCCCTATCCAGAAGAAACTCCCCTAAGAGAATGAGAGAGATATTTTGAGTCAAGCACAGATCACCTTTAGACAGCATCAGTACTCTCTTAGGACTGGAAGATGGGGGTCCTGTGATGTGGAGAAGGCTGATTTGATTTGCCTGGCTAACTTTCTTGGCTATATTCAGTATTTTGATTCTTACTAATAATACTATTTCTACTAATATCTGTTATCTATTGAGAATATCTATTATATATCAGGTATATAATCTTCATCTAATTATTACAGAAACTCTGCAAGGAAGGTTTATTAACCCATGAACAAACTGAAGCCCAAAGAGGTTAGGCGATGTTGGATCACACAGTAAGTGGCAGAGCCAGGATTTGAAAGTATGTCTGTTTGATTCAAAAGTCCTCACAAGCCAAGTCAGAGGATTGTTTCACCCATGTCAGCATAAACCACTGACTTGAGTTCTTCAGAAAAGTTCACTGTTAAAGAGTAATCTGGGAGGTGCAGCTTTCCCTTCTAAATCTCTCTTATGCCTTGGAAGATATTATGACCCCTCTTTGCGAAGCCTGAGTCTAAGTGGTACCTGGGTGGTCAGGTGCTCTGATTGGGAAAACCATTTTTGCCAGTGATTTGAGTGTGGAAAATAAAGCATATGATTGCTGCTGTGGTACAGGGTCGTAGGATGTGGACAAGGCTGGAGTCAGAGATGGGGAACGGGAGTTCTTACTATCTTCTTCACATACATACTATGGTAATGTAAGTGCATTGTAGGAGATTTAGAAGATGGAAATGAAATTCACTCCTAACCCTAAGACCCGGAGATAATGTTAACATTCTGTAGCATTTCCTTCCAAACTGTTTTCTGTGCAAACAAATAGATACAGACATATAAAATATCTAACAAGATGGGTTCTTTCTATATGTTACTCCTTTGTTCATTTGATGATATCTTGTGAATACCTTTCCAGAGCAAAAATAACAGATCTTACAACATCACCTTTATGGACTACTTAAATCGGGGATATGCCATAATTTAACAACTCTCTCGATAGACATTTAGCTTGCTTCCAAGACCTCACATGCTTTTGGCAGTGTCCACTTCTGCCAAGAGGGAATTCTAGTATCATAAAACATTAATGCTGCTAAAAGGCTTTAGCAAAAACGGTAGTAAAACCAGCAGACTTCCAGGACAAAATCAACCCTTGATACTGCCCTTCTTCCCTAAAAGCAGAGGAAAAAGGGCTGGGAAAATACATGGAATTATCCCAAGTTGTTACTTCCTTGCTTAAAAGGGAGTTGGTGGCCCACAGGTGTCTTCAGAGTTTCCCCTGAGTGCCCAGCCCTGTGAAGGTTCTAACTCTAAAAGGAGAACTTGACAGTGTGGCTCTTACCCTCAGCACCATGTTTGTTGAGACATGATTCATTCTCACAAAGTAAAATGACTGATGTAAGACCACATACATTAAATGGTTAAGCTGTTTTGATCCAGCTATGCCATCAAGAGCTGTCTATATTGTGATGAAGCAAGTTTTTATTTTTTAATTTAATTTAATTTAATTTAATTTAATTTAATTTAATTTATTTTTTTAGAGACCGAGAAAGTGCGAGCAGTGGAGGGGCAGAAGGAGAGGGAAAGAGAGACTCTTAAGCGGCTCCACACTCAGTGTGGAGCCCAATGAGTGTGGAGCCCAACAGGGCTTGATCTCACAACCCTGAGATCATGACCTGAGCCAAAATCAAGAGTCGATGCTTAACCATCTGAGCCACCCAGGTGCCCCTGTGATGAAGCAAGTTTCTAGAAAGATTCAGCTGGTAGAGGTGTCCAGAATAGACTGGAAGGGAAGGAGTCCTATTCAGAAAAATAAACCAGAATGGTATTACAGTAACTCAGACAAAAGATGATGTGGTCCTTGTGGCAGTGAAGTTGGGTCGGGAGGGCATGATAAAAACCAAAAACAATCCAAAGGCAAAAAAATTTCTAGGACTTGATGATTGCTTCTGGAAGATAAAGGAAATGGATAAGTCAGAGTTGACTCCAACTTTTTAAGAATGCCAATACTTTTTTGAGCAGAGATGGGAAAGTAGAGAGAGAAGGCTAATTTTGAAGGAAGAGATTAAATGGCAAGGATGTTGGGTCTGAGGAGACCCATGATGGGACATGGAATGAGAGTGGTTTAGTAGGCTACTGATGATTATAAGGCTTTAGGGAGATGAAAACAGCTAGAGACGTGTACACAGTTGACACTGTCTGGATGTGCCAGCTCAAGCCCTGATGGTAAGGCTCTTGAGAAGGTACGTAACAGTATTTCTCAAACTGGTAACTTACCTACAACTTCACCTGGGATCTTCTTAAAATGCAGATTGCACATTTCTAATACTCTCTCATACAATGCTAGAGCTGGTGGTTCAAGGACCACCCTGAATAGCAGGGATGCAGTGAGAAGAGCAGGGAACCAGCATCTATGCTTTGGAGTTATTGGCTAGGGACAAAACCGGAAATGCCTGAGGAGGAAAGAAGGGCTTCCCAGGGTAATGTTCCTTGTCTTATCCTTCCATTCCAGGCCCTTTGGAGAATACTTACCGTGATTTCTGGCTCATGGTATGGGAGCAAAAAGTCCTGGTGATTGTCATGACTACCCGGTGAGTTCTTCCCCTTTCCTCCCTCTGCACTCTGCCCCCACCCTGTTCCCAAGCATGGGGGGATTCAAGATGGGAGTTTAGCTCATAGAACAATGAGGATTAGGAAAGCCATGGCAAAGAGTTTGAGATGTTTTAGGTTTTTCTTAGTTGACCCAGAATTAACGTAGCCAGGATATGGTGGAGATTGATAGATCTAACTTGTCAAAGATTTAATCCTTGGCTCTGGTGACCCTGTGCCAGTTACAGGCTACTCTGAGGTCCTGGCCTTATCCACTAAAGGAAGTGTGGGAAACGTGGTGCAATTCACTTTTAATCTGCTCCCTACTTCCAAAGGGCAGCTGTCTTCTTGGCTTCTAAATTACCAGCTCCCCTTCCTTACCACTTTTGACAGTTTTTCTGCTCATTCATATTTCCACCTATAAGAGAACTACAAAAAGAGAGATGAAACATAGTTGGTCAGGCAGGAAGCTCTGGATGAAAGAAGTCCTTTTGAAATTTTGGTCTACATATCTGCCAAAACTTGAGGAATTACAAATTCATTAGTATCATCATTATCATTATGATAATTAGAACCTATTTCAGATGAGGAGAAAAACGTGTGGCTTTCCCACTCCTCTCAGCCGAGGGCCCTTACTGGGGAAGAGAATGAACAGTGGCTGAGATATAGGGCAGAGAGTTCAGTCTGGCCCACCAGAGTTTCTCTGCTGTCTTTTTTTGCCCACCCAGTGTTTATCCTGGATATGTGAGGAGTAGCAAGAGGTATCAGGATAGGTGCCAAATGGTGTAACAGGCACCCAATAAATGTCTGCTAAATGAGTACATGAAGAAACTTTAGCTGTTGTTACATCTGTTTAGAATGAAGGTTTCCCACCTTTTCTGCCAAGAAACAAAGGTATAAGTTAGAAGCAATGCAAGAGATGACATTGCTGCTAGGGGTACAGCAGGTCATAGTTTACTACTATGGAGAGGAAGGATGGAAGGCTTACCTTGCTCTCTGCTGTCTTCAGATTTGAGGAAGGTGGCAGGAGAAAGTGTGGCCAGTACTGGCCATTAGAAAGAGACTCTCGGATCAGATTTGGCTTCCTCACGGTGACCAATCTAGGCGTGGAGAACATGAACCATTATAAGAAAACAACGCTAGAAATTCACAACATAGAGGTAAATCCCGATTTTATTTTCTCACTGTTTTTATCCTGGGGGAGAACTTTTACTGTAAAGAAAATCTCCAAATGGAATAGGCAGGAATCCAGGCAGCTTATAAGTTACTTTCATTTTTCTGGGAACAGGATGTGGATATTCATCTCAGAGCCAATATAGCCATATTGTCTCAATGCAACAGTGGTATTACTTAGGAATAAAACTTACAAGAAATCTGGGTCCTGTGTAGGGAATTCTATGTTCTCCAGACATTTAACCTGTCCTTTGGGTTTGTAGAGAAGCAACTGTGGAGAAAGTTGAGGGTGGTAGGCAGGAACCTTGGTGAGGATACCAGGGGATTGAGAATCTAGAAAAGCCAAATGTAGTCAGGGGCAAGTAGAAATGACCTCATTAACTTTTGCTTCTTTTCTCATCCAAGGAGCGGCAGAAACGCCAGGTGACCCACTTTCAGTTCCTGAGCTGGCCAGATTATGGTGTCCCTTCCTCGGCAGCTTCTCTCATCGACTTCTTGAGAGTGGTCAGGAACCAGCAGAGGCTGGCTGTCAGCAGTATGGGAGCGCGCTCCAAAGGGCAGTGCCCTGAGCCACCCATTGTCGTCCACTGCAGTGCGGGCATTGGCAGGACAGGTAATGCACCTGATGGTGCGGCAGCCCTCAGAGCATCCAGAGGCAATAAGGATGGGGGAGAAATAACAAAGCTCTTAGTTGACAGTTTGGGAGAGTTTGATTCATTGGTAGCAAATTGCCATGAAAAATTCCTCTTTAATGTCCTTTTGGTATCCCTAGTGCCAGCTGCGCTGGCCAAAATATACACTTCAGGGGCCAGGGCCCTTGGGGGTTGATGCTTTATACATCCCATCAGCATGATTATCTTCTGACCCCATCACTGTCACCTGGATGTCCCAGAGAGCTCAGCTGGGCTGTTGCTTCCTTCTCATCCTCCTCCCTAAGGAGATCCCCACCCTGAGCTGTGCTCTCATTCTGGAGCTAGTTAGCAGCTTTTACCTTAAGGGATGTGCATCGCAGGGACTGCTGGTCTTTTTAGTTCAGAGTTCCCTTTGGGAGAAAATCAGGAAGAATAAGTTTCTGTTAGGTCTCTGTGGAAGAATTGTGGAGTCTCTGAAAATTAGGGCCCAGGTGTGGGAATGCTGTCATTCTGTCTTGTCTAAGACAGGCAGTTCTTCTATGTCACCTTCCCACCTTCTCTTCCTGTTACCTCCAGTACTGTCTTAGGAGACAAGAGGCCTTCTCATTTCTCTGGACTCCCAACACTCCAAAGTGACCTCCTCCTTGAATCCTTTCAGGCCTAAGGCCACCTGGCCATCTACCATAAGGCACCTTGCCTTTGAATTCATTCATCCAACCTGCCTGGGTCATTTGGTAGAGGGAGGGACAGAGGAGAGATAGACCAGGTATGACTACTTCTTTCCTTCCTTCAGGTACCTTCTGCTCACTGGACATCTGCCTGGCACAGCTGGAGGAGCTTGGCACCCTTAATGTGTTCCAGACGGTGTCCCGCATGAGGACCCAGAGGGCCTTCAGCATCCAGACCCCTGAGCAGTACTATTTTTGCTACAAGGCAATCCTGGAGTTCGCAGAGAGGGAGGGCATGGTGCCCTCCAGTCACAATCTCCTGGCCATGGAGGGTCAGTAACTGTCCCACGATCCTCCCACATGCTGGCAGCCTTCCTTAAACTACCCTGGACACCGCTGAGCCTATAGGTTGCCATCAGTTATGCTGAAGCAATGGACCAACCTCTTCCTCATGTCTCCTGGCGCACTCGTGCACGCAAGGCAGCCTTTCCCTTTGGCTAGATAGATGTGGTGAAATTGCCACTAGAAAGGGCCAGCAGCAATGTGTTCTTAATTCCTAGCACCTGCTATCGAACTGTGCCTTATTAAAACCAAATTGTGGCTATCGGTTTTTGCCAGGGGCCCCGAGGTAAGTGGGGAAGGAAACTCCCTCCCCCCTTTCCCAATACCATTCTCCTTCTCGAGGTCTCTTTTCCATTCCTTCCCTTTGCTAGGATTTGATGGGGAGGTTTGGTGAGCATCCACCTTCCTTCCCAGAGAGCTTGACCAAGTTACATACTCTAGAGAACGTCCCGAGTGCCAAGCACGTTTATACCTAGGGCGTGTATTCCAGTCTTTTCTGTCATTCTGTGTGTGTGTGTGTGTGCATGCGCGCATGTGCGCGCACACTTACATGTATGGGTCCATATGTACGTGTGTATATAATATATATTGTATGTGATAATATGGTCGTATTCTATAAATACATATACACAGAGATACTCCTTTGTAGACTTTCCTGGGGCTCCGTGTTGCAGTTCAGGACTCTGCTTCTTGGACCCAACTGTTTATCCTGGACTAGCTGGGGCTGGGGATCACTTCCCTTGTTATCAGACTGCAGAGTGGTGGAAGAGGACACACACACACATCCGCTCCTCATGCTCCTGCCACAGGCCCTCATTCTTACATAAGGACTTACCTCTTTCCAGAATACTGGAGCCAAGAATTCTGATTTGTGGTGACACTGGTTTAACTTAGCATGAATTGCCCTTATCTAATGATTTTACTCTGTTTACTTTGCCAATTTGGGGAATAGACCTCCACTGTGATTCCAGACCCTCTTTCCTCTCTCTGTCCCTTGGGGCTTGGGGTCTGGGAGTAAAGATGAGCAGTCAGAGCCAAGAACAATTGGTACGAAGTCTTAGAAGAAAAGAGAGGGAGCCCAGGTGTGAGAGAGAAAGGAAACTACTATGAGAATCCCTCTTTGGGAGAATGAACTGGGGCCCCTTTTTCTTTCGCTAGAAAGTTCCTTTCCTTATGCAACTTGGCCCTGTCCACTTAAATGTCCATCTCTTCCTTCCTAGCAGCCTGCCAGACCCTGGAGCTCAGGCTGGGTGGGCTCTGTGTCAATAAAAAGCTTAACCCCTGGCTGGGTAGGGCAGTTGCCTGCAATCACTGTTTGCCCCCTATTCACCCATCCTGTCCCTGTCTGCTCCCAGCCTGCCCAGCCTGATGTGCCAGGGATGGAATCAAAGAGTCCCCAGCACTCCACATTCGCAAGAAAATCCTAGGAACCCATAAACCTCCCATCCCAGATGAGGTTGGCAGCTGATCAGACCTCGATACTTTTATACTGTAATAAGCTCTTTGAATGTATATATTCTTATTTTTACAATCTTTTCATTTTGTATTTAACATCAATGGACTGAGTCAGATTCAGAAAATAATTGTAAATGTTCATATTCAATATCTTATAGCGATACAGTTTTGTATTTACGTATAAATATACCGACATGATCAAACCTTTTTAGCTTCATCAATTTAGTAGCAGTCTGGGCTGGGAAGGTGAGAAAGGGGTCCAAGAGCTGGTCTGGGAGGGATGGGGAGGCAGGGTGGGACCCAAGGCCTGGGTATCTGAGACTTTCAGTTCTCAGAGCCATCTACTTTATCCATAGGCCATAGCCCTAGCTGTGGGCAGGCAAAGGGAACCACCAGTCGAGTGCTTGCTGGGTGCCAATCTCTGTGCTGGGTTGCTTTCCTCCCCCATTACCTCATTCAAACCTAACAATAATCCAGTGAGGTTATTATGCTCACTCCCTTCTATTTCTATATAGATGAGGAAGGTAAGGTCCAGGAGATTATAGTGATTTGCTCTAGAACTGGAGCTCAGGTTGGTTTGCTCACAAAGCCATTGGCCTCTTCACTGTGTTGCTCTCTTTCAAAGATCAAGGTAGTGTTTTGTCCTTGGAAACCAGAGGGAATATTTTTTAGCTCTCCTTTCAGAGTATGAACAGTTTCTAGATTCCAGGTAGTTGATCCTGAGCCCATGCTGCATGTAGGGTGACAGAGTTGGTGACCGGGGCTCCCAGGTAGGACTTCCTGGTGTAGGGTCCTGAGGTCTGCAGAGTACCAAAGGGATCATTCTCCCAGGAAACACCATACATAGGGGTACACTGGTTTTTGTGGGAAGATCTCGAGTCATTCATTTGCATCTCTCTCTTAGAATGGAACCAGAAGCTTTGTCCATGTAGCACCATGCCCCGTGCCATGTAGCTACTCCCTGTTGACCAGTGACAGCCTGCCCAGTTGGGGCAGTTCTGGCCTGGAGAGTGTGCAAATATTGGGGTGTTTTTTAATAAAAGTAATAGCTAACATCTACTGGGTCCTTAATTCTGTTCCACAAACTGTTCAAAGTGCTTTCTAGATATTATTCACCACCCTCAAAACAATCTTTTGAGGTAGGTATTGATTAAAAAAAACCTGAGGCACAGGAAAATTTAATTAGCCAATCAAGAACCCAGATCATCTGACTTGAAAGCACCTGTTGTTAACTTTTTTTTTTAAGATTTATTTATTTATTTATTTATTTGAGAGAGAGAGAGAGAGAGAGAGAGAGAGAGAGAGAGAGCACATGAGAGGGGGGAGGGTCGGAGGGAGAAGCAGACTCCCTGCCGAACAGGGAGACCGATGCGGGACTCGATCCCGGGACTCCAGGATCATGACCTGAGCCGAAGGCAGGCGCTTAACCAACTGAGCCACCCAGGCGCCCCCACCTGTTGTTAACTCTTATACTAGACTTCCTCTAAGAATCCATCTCCTGATCTGCCAACAGATGTTTTGAGTTTCTTACTTCAATCAAGAGCTGAAGTGTAGAACAGAAGTTTAAGCCAACCCTTTCCCTGGATGAGTCTGTGTTCTGTTGGGGGCAAGCGAGCATAAGAGGTGAACAGGGAAATCAGAGGGGTTTGGTGAAATGTGGAGGAAACAGGATTAATGATAAGAGATCTGGAGGAGGTAGCCTTGAACTATCTTTTGTTTGAAGAGGCTGTAACCAAAGTGCTCTGCAAATTCAGAAGTTATACATGAGTTGCACATCTGAGGATTGGTGAGGTTATGACTTGTAAGAGCTCAAAAGCGCAGATTCCTGGGTCCTGCCTGGTAGGTGGTTAAGTGAGTGACAGGATGAGGCAGGTCAGAAGCACTGTCTTAATCTGTGTCCCTGACTCTGAGGAAGGTTAGCAAATTGATGTTTACTAAATCTGAGAGCAAGGGATCAATAGCTTTCCCCTACTGCCATAGTTTACTTGTAGCTTTTACATTGTGAAGAGAGTGACTTCCCAAAATGTGAGCCTACCTGTGCTAGCTGTTTGTTTTGTTTTGTTTTTTTAAAGATTTAATTTATTTCACAGAGAGAGACAGCGAGAGAGGGAACACAAGCAGGGGGAGTGGGAGAGGGAGAAGCAGGCACCCCGCTGAGCAGGGAGCCCAATGTGGGGCTCGATCCCAGGACCCTGGGATCATGACCTGAGCCGAAGGCAGACGCTTAATGACTGAGCCACTCAGGCGCCCCTGTGCTAGGTGTTTAAAGAGGGAAAGAAAGGGGAAGACCGAGAAGGAGCCTAGATCTGTTCAGGAAGTCAAGGCTCTCACACAGGAGGTTGGTGAATGAAGCAAGAGAATCCACTATCAAATGTTGGACTGTACAGTTGAGAACATAAGATAAAGTGTTCGGGGTGGAGGGAGAGCATTGTGGGCCAACTCAGGCTTCTTCCTATTTGAGTGCTATTTTTTCACCTAACTTACTGCCTCTAGCATTGGTCCTTTATCCTGACTGTCCCTGTCAGCTGGAATGGGACTCCTGAGGTAAAGTGTGCCCTGACACCCTCAGCTTAGGAGGCCTACCATTGCCAATCTCCATGTCACCACATGCAGGTAAATGACAGATTGGGACCAGTTCTTGGGAGACTGGACTATTTAGTATTGTAGATTGAGGGAGATGAGACTCCTCTTAAAAGCTTCCCAACTCTAGGGACAAGCAGACACGCATATGGAAACTCACAAATCAGAGACCTGGGGGGAAGTGGGCCAGGAAGAAAGCCTTCCTAGAGTGACTGAGCTCTTTGGTAGTTTTGAGGTCTCACCACTCAACTCAAGCCAACTCCTAGCTTCCTTTTGTGAAAGAAGGGGCTACATTAGATGATACGACCACAGGCCTTCCAACTCGTAAGGGGCTAGTTCTTTGATGGACAGTGTGAATTCTTGTAGAGGAACCATCAGGCCCTTCTCTGGTTGGGTCAGCTCCCACTCCCAATCCCTAGTTTTAAGCTTGTTTTCAAAGTCTCTTCTTTCAAGCTGCTGCCACTTCCCTATATTGTCTTAGGTCCCTTCCCACTTGGCCCACAACTTGGAGAGCAGGTCAAGTTTCCCCTGTAATCCCCAGGCCAAGGCCTAGGCTTTAAAGCTTCTGTGCTGCTCCATGTGGAGCTGACAGGGTGAGTCAGAGTCAAGGAATGAACCAACCAAGGTCCCAGAGTTCCCTGCTGAGGTTCTTAGATTTCTCTCAGGGCTTGGTCACTACCCACAGACCACCATTCTCTTACCAAGAGCAAGAGCTAAAGCTCCCACTAGGGGGGGAACCATATTTTCTCTTGGGGGGTATCTGCCCTATAGTTACCATCACAACAGTTGTGAATATTAAGTGTTGTGGATTGCTACTCTTAACTGACCACAGAGAAGACTGGGTCTTCACTACAAAAGAAGGATAGCACTCTCAGAAACCTGTTGAGGTGTTTAATCTCCCTCCACCATTTACCATCACTTTTATAAAAATCTATTTAAGCTAAATCTGGCGTGCTGCAGTCTTTTTTTTCTTTTCTTTTTTTTTTTGAGCATAGCAGACACATGATGTTGCATTAGTTTCAGGTGTACAACAGTGATTCAACTTCTCTGTAAGTTATGCTGGCATTCTGCAGTCTTAAATACCCATATTTTTTCCAGCTAAGGCCAAGATGGACATAGCTAGCCACACCAGAATCCTAGCTAGGAGTGTTGGATGGAGATTGGGAGCAGCGATCCCTTTTCAACTGTTCAGGGTTATATGTTCCTGATGGTTGTTAGGACTCAGATGGAGATGAAAGTAGGAAAGCAAGACAGTGAGATGTAAATAGAAGGGAGTCAAAAAAGGCACATTGCCCCTCCCAACTCCAGGCTCACTTCCTTCTACCACCACCCCTACCCCCCCATCAGAACCTGGCTACTTCTCTATGCTAATGTAGTTGTCTAAAGCCTCAAAACTGGCCAGATGCTCAGCTGAGCCTAGGTCAGCCATTTCATCCTATGGGGTCTCCTTTGCTTCCTTGACCTTGAATGAATACCTTATTCTATGGCCAGCAGCCAGTGGATATATGGAGTCTGATGTTCAGGACAGATATTAGGCTGGAGATGTCAACTTAGTTTAGATAAAAACTGGAGGCCTTGGAAGTGGGTGAGAACAGAAGGAGGAGAGCAAGAAGAGAGGAGAGATTTGGAGTTACCAATGTTAGGAAGAGGATAAAAAGCCTGTGAACAATTCTGATTAATAGACTGAAGTAACAGAGGACGTGGCCAGGCTGTATTCTCCCAGCCTGGTCAGTGGAAGGGAGCAGTTAGGATGAATGAACAGGATTCGGAAATGTAGGTTCACTGGTGGTCTCAGGGCAGGGGCTGACAGGGAGGTGGTGTGAATGGCAGGTGAAAGAGTAGACACTGCAGTGCTTGGGCTGTCTCCAAGCACAGCAAGGCCCACATTTATCTCTTCCACATTAGGGCTCTGAGTAAGATTGCAAATAGGACAAAGTAACCTGCTGCCTTGAAAAAAAAGTCACCAAATAACTGACATACAGAAGAAAACATTTTGAAAATGTAAAGCCAGGTAAACTGGGGAACATATTGTTATACTTATTTTTTATTAATGCTCAGTGAAGGGAAGACATTTCATGGCAGTGAGTAGCAATCTTAAAACCCACTAAAAAATTCCAAGCCTCCAAACTACCCAGAAATTAGGAATATGGAATATGTACAACCTAAGCCAGTTGGTTGCCAGAGAAATGGTTTCTTCATATAGTGGGATTGTTGGGTCTTTTAGGCCAGTCCTGGGCTCTTCTCTCAGACTGCAACACCAGGGACTGCATGTGAAAGGCCAGGCAGAGAGGGAATGGTGAGGAGTTAAGGGAGAAAAAAGTCCGTGAAGCCCTGAATAAATGCTAGGCATACTTTTTTTTTTTTTAAGTAATCTCTATGCCCAGTGTAGGGCTCGATCTCACAACCCCAAGAACAAGAGTCATATGCTCCACAGACTGAGCTAGCCAAGCGCCCCAGGCATACTTTATTTTTAATTTCACAACAGTCCACTGAAGTGGGTATTCTTTTTTTCTTTTTTCTTTTTTTAATTTTATTTATTTATTAGAGAGAATGAGAGATAGCACGAGAGGGAAGAGGGTCAGAGGGAGAAGCAGACTCCCTGCTCAGCAGGGAGCCCGATGTGGGACTCGATCCCGGGACTCCAGGATCATGACCTGAGCTGAAGGCAGTTGCTTAACCAACTGAGCCACCCAGGCGCCCGTCTTTTTTTTTTTTTTTTTAAAGATTTTATTTATTTATTTGACAGAGAGAGAGAGACAGCTAGAGAGGGAACACAAGCAGGGGGAGTGGGAGAGGGAGAAGCAGGCTTCCCGCTGAGCAGGGAGCCCGATGCGGGTCTCGATCCCAGGACCCCTGGATCATGACCTGAGCTAAAGGCAGACCCTTAACGACTGAGCCACCTAGGTGCCTCTGAAGTGGGTATTCTTATTCTTAGTTTATAGATAAATTGAGAAGATAAATAACTTGCAGAAGACCTCCAGCTAGGAGGTGACTAAATTGGGATTCTGACCAATAGTTTGAGCTTTGCCCCCCTGAACCTATAGGGCGGTTTGGATTGGGAGTGAACAAGCCTCAGATGCCCCTCACTTGCATATTCCTAAACTGGCAATGGTCTTCTATAGCTGGCAGAGGTTCTGTCAGCAGGGTACTGGCACTGACACCTTTTTGGCAGTCACTAAAGTGTAGGCCCTAAATGTCTCAGTCACCACCTACCATACACACCCTAAAGAACTAAATGAGTCCTTTTTGTGAATGACGGTGTGTGCATGCATGCACATGCATGATGCTTGTGAGACAGGGTGTCAGTGGGTGTGACAGTTTTGAGTGGTGTTGTGAGGTAAGGATGTATGTATGTATGTGGTTGGGAGAAATATCTTGCTTCTTTGAAGATCATTTTTTTGGAAAGGGCCAGAAACCATTTAGAACTATCTGGGGACAAACTGCTCTTGGAATTAGGGAGGTAAGAGGGATGGGG